TTCCATTATAGTGTGGCCAGGGGGGTACAGTTTCACGGCACACATAACAATAGGCTGGTTTTAGTCGTGTTGAGTTGGGATGAAAAAAACCCCAAGATCTCGGGTATTACATAATTGCATTGAATAAACAGTAGTTTGATTTCTTTGGACAGAATATTGTTATGTTGTAATGTTAAAAAAATACGAACGGCACCTACCGTTCCCTTCACAGACGAGTTCAATTCGCCTCTCGTCCCATGCCGGATTACGCAGTGTCTTCCGCAGAGCGAGGAAGTTCGATTTTAAATGGGTCATGGTAGAATGGAGATAACCCTAGTGTGTTTGAAAATCAGAGACATGCTTTACTGAATTGATGGCGACTAAATATTTCAATTGTTGTGTTCCAATTGAAATTTAGTCGCCATCAATTCAGTAAAGCATGTCTCTGATTTTCAAACACACTAGGGTTATTTCCTCAATAAGATATTAGATACAGGTCACTTTCCCGAAGTATGGAATATTGGAATGATTGTTCCTTTGTTTAAGTCTGGAAGCTGATCAAATCCGAATAATTATAGAGGAATCTCGCTGTTAAATGTTACTGGTAAAGTTTTACGTCTGTTTTAGAAACACGAATAAGAATTTGTTTGGATGTTAATAATCTGATTTCGGAATCTCAAGCGGGTTTCCGTCCGGATTATTCTATGGTACACAATATTTTTATCCTACAGTGGTTGTGCAGCAAATATCTCTGTAGAAAAGGGGGTATATTTTACGTGGCATTCGTCGATTTTAGAAAAACCTTTGATTACATTAATAGGGGAAAAAAAGCTCTATATGTTAGTTATGAAAGGTTGTCATCGCAAAATGTATACAATATTGAAGAGTTTGTATTCATCAGTTAAAGCTTGTATAAAATCTAAAGAGGGCATCACACAACAATTTGAAACTTCATGTGGTGTTCGCCAAGGTTGTGTTTTAAGCCATGTGCTATTCGCATTTTTTGATAAATGAACTTGTAATTGATTTGAATAATAAAGGTGATCATGGAATATTTATAAGCCAAACTATTGAAGATATAATGATGCTATTGTTTGCAGATGATGTCACAATGTTTTCATTTACAGTAGCAGGTTTACACAGACAACTGAATGTATTAGATGGGTTTTTTGTAAAAAAAATGGAGTCTTGAGGTGAATACAGAAAAACACCCAAATATAATAGTATTTAGAAACGGTGGTATATTGAGAAACGAGAAATGGTACTTTGGTGATAAACAGCTAAAATGTGTTACTAACTATAAGTACTTAGGGTTAAATATTCTCCTCACCCTTTTATGGTCAAACGCTTGTAAGACTCTTGCTGCACAGGCATCTAAAGCAATGTTCTCTGTATTTCATATACTTAGTAAGAATAGATTTATCTCATTTATTACAGCCTGCAAAATATTTGATATCAAAATTAATCTTGTTTTATTACACGCAAGTGAAATATGGGGCAGTAATTATCATCATGTAATAGAGCAAGTTCATATTTTAAAACGATATTTAAGGGTGGGAAAGTCTGCATCCAACACGGCTATACTTGGTGAGACTGGTGGGTGTGATATGCTTGTATCAACTCAAACACGATGTATTAAGTATTGCATTAAGTTGTTGTAAATGAATGTTAATCGTTATCCATATCAATGGTATGTATAACTTAAAAATTTAAATGAAAATGTAATTGGGTGTCCAATATTACAACTATCTTGTTTAGAACAGGCTAATGTGTGTGGATATCACAAAAGGTTCGTGATGTAAATGTGTTTATTCTGAAGTTTAGAGAAAGATTGATTTACATGTACAAACAAACTTGGCATGGTTTTATTAGTAACTCGCATTATTTAACGCACTACTGTAAGCTGAAAGCAGTTTTGGACCCTGAATGTTATATCTTACAAGTGAATGATAAGTCTCTTCTAAGAGCAGTTTGTAAATTTAGAATATCCCTACATAATTTTAGAATTGTTACTTACAGGAAAAATTAAGACAATGGTATAACTAGTTGTATCTGTATAAATTGTAATTTTGGAGCGATTGAAGAGGAATACCATGTTTTTACGCAATGTACAAAATATAATGAAATTCGGCAAAAGTACTTGCCACAGCTGAATGCCATGCCTCAATGTGAACAAAGCATGTTAGAAGTATTGCACTCTAAAGATTCTAATGTTATTAAATCAGTCGCTCTGTTTTGGAAACATCTCTTCAGATAACATACATGAAATTATCACGTGGCATTGTAAAATATTGTATCTTTCAATTATATTAATTAAGAAATACAGTTTGCCCTACCACCATGTATAGTGCAATAATACACACTTTCGCCCTGAACTATTATAGTTAAAGTACGAGGACGCTTGCATTCAGGGCGAAAGTGTGCTTTATTACACTATACATGGTGGTAGAGCGAACTGTATTTATTTTCTAAGATACCAAATTTAATACTTTCTAAGGATAATTACGATTAATTTAAGGCAGAAAACAAACGACGGTGTCGGTGACCTAAATTAAGAATCCGCGATCAGGGCTAACTGGCGCGCTGTCTTATTTATGTGTCTGCCCCCCTACGTTAAGACGAACGTTACCAGAAAAAACCCAAATGTTTACGTTTGGATTAAATATATTATCTGAATTATTTTAATTACATCTGTCATTAACGTAAACCATATGGGGCAATATGAACGTCGCATTTCTACTACCAACGTTTAGATCAGTACATCCAGATGAAGCTGAGTAGTCAAAAACGCTGAAAACTTGTGAGTCGAATTGACACATTTTAACCGTCGTAAAACATAAACGTAATGTTTCCACCAGTGATGTTAGCTGCGTGAAGCAACTACAAACCAAGAAACGGGATGCAACGGAGTAGTGTACTGTAGGAGGCCGTACGAGGCGATGACAACTGACATGCATTGTGACGTAATGTAAAATGGTTCGATTACGAGGGGGCACACTAGAATGGCGCAGTGACGTGATAACGTCATTCAATTGTTACGTCATCAAGAAACTATACCTTTATTGTCTGATAATGTATTTTTTTTCGATTGTTCTAACCGCTAGGCATCTTAGAAAGGCCGTTAGGCCCACATTACTGAATAAATATGTCTGTCTGTCTGTATCACACTACAACATGATTCCACGGACACTGAGTACCTTGAGTACAGTGAGCGTCAGTCCAAGACCCGCACAGGTGTCACTCCCGCAGTTGTTCATCTTGTCACAGGCAGAGCGTGGGCTCAGCCGAATGATCCGTGTTAAAAAATACGCTTCCTTCGATCAAACAACTTTTGCAATCCTGATGATCTATTCTGTCTGGCCACAGGCACTAGGGGAACCCCCACGCAATGTGAGGCATGGTTCAAGAGCCAGACAAATCACATGTAGCAGGTGTCGATCTAAGCTGGGCCCCGTCTCGCATATCGAAATATAGCTTTGTCGAACGTTAGCGCGCGCAAAGGGAGCCGGGAACCAGCTTAGTGTCGATCCAAAGCGTCGACGCATTCTCCCAGGTCACGATTCAAGCTCTGATTCTGACTGTAAAACTATCTTGATACATTTCTTGATGCAAACTAGTTTGGCTCTCATTGTTTCCACTTCCTGTTTACAAAATTCATGAATTCAAGGACAGAAAACACATATGTATTACTATTAAACACACTATACAGTTAAGTTAGTTGCGAAAAACATATTTTTCTAAGGGAAAATGTAGACTCGCGTAATATACCAGTTTAAGATAACGGTAGTGAGATGACATTCTTAGGAATGAAGCCGCATCACATGCGTAAGAATATGGGGGTTCCCCACATCGCGGGTTTCCATAATGTGAAACTGTTGTTTTCATTTGACCTTTTCTTAGAACGTGTGAGTGCGTTAATATTTAGCGGCACATCGCTGATATTTATTTATCGTGAACAATTTATTTTTATCAATATTAAAATCAATAAATTTGGAACGTAAACTCCTGTCATCGAAGGACAGTAAACTACCCGGTTATGACATCTCTTAATTTAAAACTAGAACGCTATCACAAAAATCTTTCGGCATTCTCATAGCAGATGTTCACTAAAACCATTAGAGTTTATCAGTAAATAAAACTTAAGACCATTGTTCAACCTGGAGTTATCCTGCCCATGTAGCTTAAAGGATGATTTCTAATTTGTATGATACAAAAACACAACAAAAGAAATACCTTTCTACGATTTGCCGAATAGTATTCGCAGAAAACATTGTTACTTGTACAACACAACTTGAGATCACTGACAACCTGATCATAAACAAACATATTACCTCGCTACTGAAACAGTAAAAACGGCAACGAAAGACTATGAAACTGCAACATTTTTGTATCAGCGAACTTTGACCTCTACTGCGATTACGATCCGCGCTTCTTTCAAATTTCCGAACAACCTTGAATCGCCTCGCGTAGAAAAAGTATTGAATATTACAATAAATACATACATTAAACATAAATAGCACCCGGCCATGTGACCTATGAGACACTAAAATCACAAAAATATCACAGTTATGCAATAAAATTTGAGAGTACAAATAAAACACATCATTACACACATTTTAGGGACATGATCCGGGTATGCACGGGGAAAACAATGTGCATTTTATGTTGCAACGGTTAAGTTTAGTTTATGTACTCAGCGACGACCCTTACACTTTCAAGCAAACTGCACGAAATGCATTACTCCCTTCTAAAGCCCTGCAATTATTTCGTCATGCATGCACTCGCCGATCAGTTCGTGACGTTGTTGCAAGTATTGTTTTATAAGTGCCAGCACCGGGATTACCTCTGAATACACAGTGCCATTTAGAACGTGGTCACATGTACACGCTGTTATTTGTGGGATTTCACTTTCTCGGTAAGAACAGATTCTAGAACTTTTGTTGGGTTGAGTCCCATCCGGGATTCGAACCCACACCATCAGAGTCAGGCACCTAATCACCAGCACTCTGATTACTTCGACTATGCAAAATAACTCAATAAGGTTCGCCTACGCCACTGAGGATGTGAAGGATGGTCGGTCAGAAGTCAGAAATCATTTGGCATGTATCATCCCCGGCATGTTGTATTTGGGATTACACTTTCTTAGTAAAGTACAGATTTTTGTACTTTTGTTGGGTTGAGTCCCATCCGGTATTCGAACCCACACCCTCAGAGTCAGGCGCCTAATCGCCAGCACACAAAGTCAGACGCCTAGACCGCTTAGCCACCGCGGCTTCCACAAAAAAATGGAAGTCGGACAACTGGTAGTCTGGACTGCGGACGTTGTGTACCCCTCTGATAAGTGTTAATAGGCACGGCTCCCACGGCCGAAAGCTATGAAATACACAATGCCATTTAGAAAGTGGTCAAATGTAACACGTGTTATATTTGGGATTACACTATCTTAGTAAAGTACAGATTTTAGCACTTGTGTTGGGTTGAGTCACATCCCATCTGTATTAGGTCTGGTAAAGCAGACGGAATACACCCATATCTAAGCGCCGGTGTAAAAGCTACGATACCTTGTTCAAAGGATTAACCGCTACACTGTTGATTGCTCACTGTTGTCCAACTATATGGATTATTTACAAACACCATAGCCATCATAGATGCCACATTTGCTATCCCAGCTGACCAATGAGTGAGTGAGTGAGGTTTACACCGCTTTTAGCAATATTCAAACAATATCACAGCGGGGGACACCAGAAATGAGCTTCACACATTGTACCCATGTGGGGAATCGAACGCGGGTGTTCAGCGTGACGATTGAACGCTTCAACCACTGGGCTATAAGCCCCGCCCCTAGCTGACCAATGAGACACGACACCGATGTGAAACACATGAAACTAACGTGGTCGCTTGGGAAACGAACACCGGTTTAATATCCTAAAACGCTTATTATGTTTTTGGGTATAACATTGTTTCAAAGACACGTAATATCGACCATGTTTCATTATACAGTTTGAAATAAAGTGTATTGTTCGTTTGTGTGGATATTGAGGGATATCTCTCTCGGAAAAATGTAACTGCCCGATATTATACATGAAACCATTTTGGTTTTGCTTTAGATTGAACTCGAGAGGCATCCACGGTTTCTGATCAATCTGTCCCATGCATAAAAAATTCGATCATTGGTGATCAACTCCGGGATAAGTCGTAGATTACGGAAAGTAGCGAGTGGTGACGAATGACGCTCTATCCCCCATTTCAATGTTTACATTCATATTTTATTATTTTAATCAAGTTTGTCCCTTGTCATGTTTCATTATTTACTCACCACAAATGTTGTTACCAGAGCCAATGCTGGCAATATTACTAAGTCGTATTACCGAACATGTTAAACATCAGTAACAGCCAGACTTGAAGATTTCTCTAATTGAATTGAAGTAGTCTATTTGGTTAAAGCGTTCGCTCATCGGCACCGAAGACTCGAACCCTAACAAGGTTCGATTCACCACATGCGGTCATAGGGGCAATGCGTCAGAAGCCCATTTCCGGCGTGGTATTGCTGGAATATTGCTAAAGATTCTCTGCGTANGCAGTGTAAAACAAAACTTACTCAGCAAACTCAAAATCTGCAGAAACCATATGCTCTGAGAATTCTTGTCTGCAGGCTCGTGTAGATGGAGGATGCATGATTTATATCTGGAACTGTTCTAAAAAACGAGGGGTGATGGGATAGCCTAACGGTTAAAGCGAACGCTCGTCCCGCTGAAGACCAGGGTTCGATTCTCAACATGTGCCAATGTCGCCGGCAGCCGTATTTCTTCTGTGTTCTGTCCCAAGGCTGCATTGCAACGATCTCAGTATGAGAAGTTGTACCTGCTTCCTCGTATCTGACCCACAGCCAATTCACGGGCTTCTACCTGTGACGTAATGACAATTTGAACTGCGCGTTCTGTTGTCACGTGTCCGCCTCGTATGACGGCAGACAGATACAAATATTTCCTGATGTTTCTAATTCCAGGTAATAGACAGCTTTTTAGGAAACTCCGTCTCCTAACATTTGTCTCGGACAATACGAAGCCTTAACCTGCGACAGCAATACAATGCACTTGTATTAAATACCAATTAAGGAATTATGACGAACATTTGAAATTACTGCTAAATTTTGTCAACATGGTAATCTTCCTTCTTGTTAAGACCTAACATTTAAGAGAGTGTGAAAAGATGAATAGGAGGCGTGATACACTGGATTTTAAGGATAATGAAATCTTTGGCATTTATAAAATTCACTTGCGACTATGGCACCTACAAGAAAGGGCATGGAAACTAGGACCATATTTACCCACCTCTGTAATATATGTTCACAGATACTTGAATGTTGTTGGGTTATTTTTTATTCATGAACGGAATGTGTGCACATTTGGCAGCCAAATGATACGTACATTTCTTACGTTGGGCATACGGACCGCATATGATACTTTCATTTCCCAGCATGCACAAATATGTAAAATACTGTTCCTTCATGTGGTGCTGGTCATTTCGCCCACCTTTGAGATAAGGTCATTTCGCCCTATGGATTACCAAATCCTGACTATTTTATTCTCGGACTTTGATGCTGAGAACAGTGCTTTGGATTCACAGGTGTATCGGGTATTTTTTAATTGTAATTTTCTTGTTGCAAATATACACAGCTGTGTCAACATACTCGGTTCTGGGATCCTTAAAGGCACTATATCACACCAAACTTCTCTAAAAATAAATAATGCATTTCTCCCAATAATACTAAGTATCATCCCTCAGGGAAGTTACCATATCATTTACTCTAAATAAATGTACGTATTTAGATTACAATATTAAATTAGAAAGTTGAATTAATGCAACGTTGCATTAAATCGACTATCGCGCCCTCTACCGCCCGAACATTATTTCAAGCGATCCCCATAGAGTTATTTCCCTTGGAGCGCTGTTTACGAATACCATACACACAACTTGTGATTGAAACCAGTTCAGCAAACACCGACAATATCGCGTGCGACAGTTTTCGATGTACGGAGCAATCGATCGTTTATATTCCATATGTGGCAAGTGTTCTCTGTTTGGAAGCTGTTCGCCTCGAAGTTCCAATTATCGATTTCAGGCAACTCATAAGGGATAATGAGTCTTTTATTGCATCAATAGGAAGCTAACGTGAGTGCATACGCCCCTATTTATGTTATATAGACCAACATATTGTCGAAAATGTGTAACATTGTGCTTTTAATGCTGCCATGTGTTACAGACATATATCGGACGGCCGGACTGTACTGATATCGGATATCACGTGCTGATATCATATCGTAATCTCCTTATCCTATTTTATCAGAAGACTATACAGATAGGAAGTAACTTGGTATTTTTATTCTCGTGGCTATAATATGAAAACAGATATGAAAATTCTGGAATCAATCCACAATGTTCAACAAAAAAGTATCTTCAGTTTCTATTAGAAAACGTGTGACCAATTTACCTGCCAACCATTCTCTATTCCATTAACTCTTTAGACATATGTTACTGCTGACAAATTATTTATATGTGTGTTCATTTGATATATACTACCCATCAAAAGTTTAGACTCGTTTAAATCAATCACTATAAGGTATGTATGTACATATGGTTACAACGAAGATGAATTTCTCCACTAACTTCGGGGGAAAATCTGCAAACCTTATGCAGATTAATTGTACGAGGATCATGCATCAAATTGCTGAAAAGCAAATGCAAATATCGTGCATGTGAACAGCTGCGTTTTGGTTTAAAGTTTTGATAAAAAAAATCGCCATTTTTCACCGAGTTTCATCATTTATTGAACACATGACAATAAACTTTTCAACGTTACGAATTTGTTTTACAATACATCAGCTCATGTATAAACAGTACCTTTAAACTGTATGGGTTATTTTACAAAATCTAGTTCAGAACAGTTGACTGAAGTAAGTGGCTACATTTACACCATCCTCGATAATCTCCAGGGTATACCAGGGTATACGTTACGATCACTCTCATATAGAGTGACCATTAGGCTACCCCACCGCCCACAGGTTGCATTAGCATTAGGTTTATGAGGAAAGAAAATATGTTATGTCTATCGAATGATGTTGCAGTTGTGTGTTTAACTGTGTGTATTTCAAGGAAACAAGAAAAACTTGCCTATTCCCATTCACAAAGCATCAGTATTCAAAATGTGAGGACACCATCTCATTTCTGTTGCCATAATCTTGTGTCCAGCCGTTGAAGATCGGGGTTAAAATTGGCCTTCAATAACCCATGCTTGTCGTAAGAGGCGACTAACGGGATCGGGTATAGTCAGACTCGCTGACTTGGTTGACACGTATCCCAATTGCGTAGATCGATGCTCATGCTGTTGATCACTGGATTGTCTGGTCCAGACTCGATAATTTACAGACCGCCGCCATATATCTGGAATAGTGCTGTGTGCAGCGTAAAACTAAACTCACTCACTCCCAGGGGCGTTTGATTTGGTGCGCTCGGTTGGTCATTCAGGATGGTGGACAAATCTCACTTGTGGAGTTTAAGACGATAGCGTCCATTTTTATTGTTGGGTGAAAAGGGATATAAATGGTACACGTGCATGGTAGACTCATGATAGAACGCACAGCGGGGCCGGATGGGTCAATGTTCTCAGTGCGGAGACCCGTTCTGTTACTTACAATGCAGCAGCCGGACGGCGATTCTTCATCGTCGTCGTCGTAGTCGTTCGTAAGGCGACGGTCTTGCCCACCACATCGACCATTCGTGACCAACTCGTGTTATTCCGGGACAAGCCGAATAGCTTCTTGGAGGTTACGGAAAAGGGCGAGTGGTGACAAATACCGCCGTGGATGATCTGGGCCCGTATCTCTGACTGATCATGTCAGTCAGATTTTGCAGATAGAGATATTACCCTATGTGTAGACTAACGCCTAGTCCCTGAATATATATGATATTGGTAGTAACCAAAAAAATCCAGTTAAATTGAAACGGAGGGAAATCTAGACTTACTTCATTCAGGGTTTTAGCGTTGCAGGGAGAGCTAGGCAGTACGGAAAATAATGTGGTTCAGGGACTGTGAAACACACAACGCCACGTGGTGCAAGGTCACTGACCTATGCATACGTACATGCGTAAAATCCGCCCACGTGTTCACATAGCAGTAAGACTTAAGGCTCCTGCCCGGAAGGGGATTTATAAGAGGGGACAAACCAAATGCATTTAACCGAAAAAGGAGAAAGAATTTCGGTGCACTTTGTAATATATTGAAACAATTTAGTCTTTCCAACAAATGAAGTTTTAGAGGAACTTATTGAAATGGTTTAACAGTACTACAGCTTCTGCCGCCGTTTAGTTGGAATGAGTGCGGCGTAAAACTAAACTCTCTCACTCACAGCTTCTGTATATTTTACTGCATGTCACAACACAAAATATTCCTCAGTTTGGTATGATCATAGCTATGCTCGACATGTCCTCAGGGTTTATTTTGTTTGTGTGGTTTTATTTTCAGAAAATATGAGAATACCTACCTGGAACAGTCGGTCATCGAAGCGGACATTACACATCATCTTCTCCTGTCTCGTCTTTGCGGCTGTGTGTGCTGTCATTCGTCACTTCATGTTGAGGAAAGAAAACCTCCCGGTAAGTCATATCTGGTGAGTCATATGGTTGGAACCCACCCGTGGAGATCCGGATTAGAATTGATCTTCAATCAAACCCACTGGGTTACTAGATCTCCCGAACACCGGTCTACCACTCCCCAAGCAGGCACTCCTTCACTAGAACACTTCTTCCTGGAAGCTGAAACCAAGCGCAGTCTGAAAGAGTGACATAACTTCAAGTAACAATAGATAATATAAATATTGCCAGTGAATAACAGATCTCATCAACATATTTCTTCCTGGCTGTATATTTCTTTCTGATGTATTTCGTTATTTTGTCCTGGTGTAATCGGATATTTTTTTCTTGCTGCATTCTGTCATTTTGTCCTGATGTATTCTGTTATTTCTTCCTGTTATATTCATCACGCTGGAGACCCTATTTTGATTCCACTCATAGAAACAGTGTGTGAAGCCCGTTTCTGGTGTCCCCTGTCATGATATTGCTGGAATATTGCTAAAAGCGGCGTAAAACTCTACTCACTTATTCACTCCAAAAGACGAAGTAGAAATAAGTGATTCAATTTTTGCGCGTAAAGTTTCATTTTTCAAAGTTTGCTTGTGTTTGTTTGAAGAAAACATGCACTTCCACTGACTATAACACGCGTAATGAAGACGTGTCAATGTCGCCGGCAGCAGCATTTCTTCAGTGTTCTGTCCCAAGGCTGCATTGCAACGATCTCACCCACTCCTATTCAGTTATTTCTTCCTGATGTATTGATTTGTGTCTTCCTGGTGTATTGATTTGTGTCTTCCTGATGTATTGATTTGTGTCTTCCTGATGTATTGATTTGTGTCTTCCTGATGTATTGATTTGTGTCTTCCTGCTGTATTGATTTGTGTCTTCCTGATGTATTGATTTGTGTCTTCCTGATGTATTGATTTGTGTCTTCCTGGTGTATTGATTTCCTGTGTATTGATTTGTGTCTTCCTGATGTATTGATTTGTTTGTGTCTTCCTGATGTATTGATTTGTGTCTTCCTGCTGTATTGATTTGTGTCTTCCTGCTGATTTGTGTCTTCCTGATGTATTGATTTGTGTCTTCCTGTATTGATTTGTGTCTTCCTGATGTATTGATTTGTGTCTTCCTGGTGTATTGATTTGTGTCTTCCTGCTGTATTGATTTGTGTCTTCCTGGTGTATTGATTTGTGTCTTCCTGGTGTATTGATTTGTGTCTTCCTGGTGTATTGATTTGTGTCTTCCTGATGTATTGATTTGTGTCTTCCTGGTGTATTGATTTGTGTCTTCCTGCTGTATTGATTTGTGTCTTCCTGATGTATTGATTTGTGTCTTCCTGATGTATTGATTTGTGTCTTCCTGATGTATTTTGTGTCTTCCTGATTTTGTGTCTTCCTGATGTATTGATTTGTGTCTTCCTGATGTATTGATTTGTGTCTTCCTGGTGTATTGATTTGTGTCTTCCTGCTGTATTGATTTGTGTCTTCCTGATGTATTGATTTGTGTCTTCCTGATGTATTGATTTGTGTCTTCCTGGTGTATTGATTTTGTGTGTCTTCCTGGTGTATTGATTTGTGTCTTCCTGATGTATTGATTTGTGTCTTCCTGGTGTATTGATTTGTGTCTTCCTGTGTATTTTTGTGTCTTCCTGATGTATTGATTTGTGTCTTCCTGTATTGATTTGTGTCTGTGTATTGATTTGTGTCTTCCTGGTGTATTGATTTGTGTCTTCCTGATGTATTGATTTGTGTCTCCTGGTGTATTGATGGTGTTTGATTTGTGTCTTCCTGATGTATTGATTTGTGTCTTCCTGATGTATTGATTTGATGTATTGATTTGTGTCTTCCTGTGATGTATTGATTTGTGTCTTCCTGATGTATTGATTTGTGTCTTCCTGGTGTATTGATTTGTGTCTTCCTGATTTGTATGTATTGATTTGTGTCTTCCTGATGTATTGATTTGTGTCTTCCTGGTGTATTGATTTGTGTCTTCCTGATGTATTGATTCCTGATGTGATGATTTGATGTCTTCCTGATGTATTGATTTGTGTCTTCCTGATGTATTGATTGTGTCTTCCTGATGTATTGATTTGTGTCTTCCTGATGTATTGATTTGTGTCTTCCTGGATTTGTGTCTTCTTCCGATTTGATTTGTGTCTTCCTGATGTATTGATTTTGTTTGTCTTCCTGATGTATTGATTTGTGTGTCTTCCTGATGTATTGATTTGTGTCTTCCTGATGTATTGATTTGTGTCTTCCTGATGTATTGATTTGTGTCTTCCCTGATGATTTTTGTGTCTTCCTTGTATTTTGTGTCTTCCTGATGTATTGATTTGTGTCTTCCTGATGTATTGATTTGTGTCTTCCTGATGTATTGATTTGTGTCTTCCTGATGTATTGATTTGTGTCTTCCTGATTTGTGTCTTCCTGGTGTATTGATTTGTGTCTTCCTGATGTATTGATTTGTGTCTTCCCTGATGTATGATTGATTTGTGTCTTCCTGATGTATTGATTTGTGTGTCTTCCTTGGTGTGTATTGATTTGTGTCTTCCTGCTGTATTGATTTGTGTCTTCCTGGTGTATTGATTTGTGTCTTCCTGCTGTATGATTGATTTGTGTCTTCCTGATGTATGTATTGATTTGTGTCTTCCTGGTGTATTGATTTGTGTCTTCCTGATGTATTGATTTGTGTCTTCCTGATGTATTGATTTGTGTCTTCCTGATGTATTGATTTGTGTCTTCCTGCTGTATTGATTTGTGTCTTCCTGATGTTGATTTGATTTGTTTGTGTCTTCCTGATGTATTGATTTGTGTCTGTATTGATTTGTGTCTTCCTGATGTATTGATTTGTGTCTGATGTATTGATTTGTGTCTTCCTGATGTATTGATTTGTGTCTTCCTGGTGTATTGATTTGTGTCTTCCTGATGTATTGATTTGTGTCTTCCTGATGATTTGTGTCTTCCTGATTTGATTGTCTTCCTGATGTATTGATTTGTGTCTTCCTGATGTATTGATTTGTGTCTTCTTGATGTTTTGTGTCTTCCTGATGTATTGATTGATTTGTGTCTTCCTGATGTATTGATTTGTGTCTTCCTGATTGTTTGTGTCTTCCTGATGTGTATTTGATTTGTGTCTTCCTGATGTATTGATTTGTGTCTTCCTGATTCTGTCCTGATGTATTGATTTGTGTCTTCCTGATGTATTGATTTGTGTCTTCCTGCTGTATTGATTTGTGTCTTCCTGATGTATTGATTTGTGTCTTCCTGCTGTATTGATTTGTGTCTTCCTGCTGTATTGATTTGTGTCTTCCTGGTGTATTGATTTGTGTCTTCCTGCTGTATTGATTTGTGTCTTCCTGATGTATTGATTTGTGTCTTCCTGCTGTATTGATTTGTGTCTTCCTGGTGTATTGATTTGTGTCTTCCTGATGTATTGATTTGTGTCTTCCTGCTGTATTGATTTGTGTCTTCCTGGTGTATTGATTTGTGTCTTCCTGATGTATTGATTTGTGTCTTCCTGCTGTATTGATTTGTGTCTTCCTGATGTATTGATTTGTGTCTTCCTGATGTATTGATTTGTGTCTTCCTGCTGTATTGATTTGTGTCTTCCTGATGTATTGATTTGTGTCTTCCTGATGTATTGATTTGTGTCTTCCTGCTGTATTGATTTGTGTCTTCCTGATGTATTGATTTTGTGTGTCTTCCTGCTGTGTATTGATTTGTCTTCCTGTATGTATTGTCTTCCTGATGTATTTTTGTGTCTTCCTGATGTATTGATTTGTGTCTTCCTGATGTATTGATTTGTGTCTTCCTGATGTATTGATTTTGTGTCTTCCTGATGTATTGATTTGTGTCTTCCTGATGTATTGATTTGTGTCTTCCTGATGTATGTGATTTGTGTCTTCCTGATGATATTGATTTGTGTCTTCCTGTATGTGATTGATTTGTGTCTTCCTGATGTATTGATTTGTGTCTTCCTGATGTATTGATTTGTGTCTTCCTGGTGTATTTTGTGTCTTTGTGATTTGTTCTTCCTGATGTATTGATTTGTGTCTTCCTGCTGTATTGATTTGTGTCTTCCTGATGTATTGATTTGTGTCTTCCTGATGTATTGATTTGTGTCTTCCTGCTGTATTGATTTGTGTGTATTGATTTGTGTCTTCCTGTGTATTGATTTGTTCCTGTCTTCCTGATGTATTGATTTGTGTCTTCCTGCTGTATTGATTTGTATGATGTATTGATTTGTGTCTTCCTGGTGTATTGATTTGTGTCTTCCTGCTGTATTGATTTGTGTCTTCCTGCTGTATTGATTTGTGTCTTCCTGCTGTATTGATTTGTGTCTTCCTGATGTATTGGTTTCCTGTGTCTTCCTTCCTGATGTATTGATTTGTGTCTTCCTGATGTATTGATTTGTGTCTTCCTGATGTATTGATTTGTGTCTTCCTGCTGTATTGATTTGTGTCTTCCTGCTGTATTGATTTGTGTCTTCCTGCTGTATTGATTTGTGTCTTCCTGCTGTCCTGTCTTCCTGATGTATTGATTTGTGTCTTCCTGATGTATTGATTTGTGTCTTCCTGATGTATTGATTTGTGTCTTCCTGATGTATTGATTTGTGTCTTCCTGCTGTATTGATTTGTGTCTTCCTGCTGTATTGATTTGTGTCTTCCTGCTGTATTGATTTGTGTCTTCCTGCTGTATTGATTTGTGTCTTCCTGATGTATTGATTTGTGTCTTCCTGATTGATGTATTGATTTGTGTCTTCCTGGTGTGATTGATTTGTGTCTTCCTGATTGATTTGTGTCTTCCTGATGTATTGATTTGTGTATTGATTTTTGTGTCTTCCTGGTGTATTGATTTGTGTCTTCCTGATGTATTGATTTGTGTCTTCCTGATGTATTGATTTGTGTCTTCCTGATGTATTGATTTGTGTCTTCCTGATGTATTGATTTGTGTCTTCCTGATGTATTGATTTGTGTCTTCCTGATGTATTGATTTGTGTCTTCCTGATGTATTGATTTGTGTCTTCCTGGTGTATTGATTTGTGTCTTCCTGGTGTATTGATTTGTGTCTTCCTGATGTATTGATTTGTGTCTTCCTGGTGTATTTCGTTATTCCTTCTTGATGTATTCAGGTAATACTTCTCCATGTATTCAGGTAATACTTCTCCATGTATTCACGTAATACTTCTCCATGTATTCACGAAATACTTCTCCATGTATTCACGTAATACTTCTCCATGTATTCACGTAATACTTCTCCATGTATTCACGTAATACTTCTCCATGTATTCACGTAATACTTCTTCATGTATTCAGTTGTTTGTTCCTGTTTAATTTCCATCTTTCGGTTGTATTTATATAATTCTCCCTTGTGTATTCATTTGTATCATACTGTTGTATTCAATTGTTTCATTTATGCAGTGTTAACAAATGGTGTATGAAATGTTTATTAAATTGTAATGCTCAGTGAAACCATGTCAGATATATTCAGCAAGTCCAAGCCAGCCAACGGCATTTGAGCCGGAGACAGAATTGGTTTTATGTTACAATCAATAGTTCTAATGCTGTGCTCCCCAAGAAGTATACCAGTATTTGCAATTATTTCCTCAACTGTTAAGATCGGGTGAGTGAGTTTTTTATTCCAGCCATATCACGGCGGAGGACACCAGAAATGGCTTCACACATTGTACCCATGTGGGGAATAGAACCCGGGTCTTTGCCGTGACGAGCCAACGCTTCAACCACTAGGCTACCCCACCGCCCCTTTAAGATCGGGGTTAAAACGGTTTTCAGTAACTGTGTGCGTTGTAAGAGGCAATTAACGGAATCATTTGATAAGGTTCGCTGACTTGGTTGACGCATGTCATCATATCCGAATTGTTCAGAACGATGCCAATGATGTCAATGACAGAACGCCGTCATACAGCTGGAATATCGCTGATTTTCGCGTTAAACAACAATCAAAACAAATCAGATTGTTTCCTTAACATGTAATTGAGGTAAATCATTTCCTGAACACAGGGTCTGGTCTCAACATTCACCAGTAAGTGCCTTCATCGAGACATCACCATATTTATCATTGATCCAGTCGTTCTCCGGTCGTTGTTGGTCGTCAACGAGTCCACGCCTCGCTGTGTCCTGTGCACGGCTGGGAATGTCATCTCCCTCGGGGTAATGGAAGCAGACTGGGACAAAAGGGTAGGTGAACCCCTTAAAAATGGCAAATTCATTTGTGCCTTCCGTCTTCTGTAAGATGCTCTAAGATGTACAACTTTTCGGCAGGAAACGCCATTGCACACGTTGTTCAACTTATTCACACAACTCAAGGCAAGTATGTTTTAAAAGGCTTGGATTTGTGTCACTGTTGGTTTCGTATTTTAAAGCCTTTTCTTTGTCAAGTTATATTTTACAGTCTACGTAACTAAGTGAGAATATGCTACTCGTGATTAATCATTGAAAAATGATTGACGTATACCATTGAATTCATATTGGTATCATAATAGGGATTATTGGCAATAATGTAAGATAACACCGTACGAGACTAAGAGTATTGAGAATGTTACGCATCAAAACAACTCATTTCTTCGCCATACGTCAAGGGGGCAACTGTCTGATGTACACCATATGAAGGGCATTTATAAAAAGGCCTGCTCACCTTTACACTCAAAACTCCAAGACAATGTGAACCAATGGTTTACAATGTACGATCTCCACGTGTCTATCATAAGATGTGTTTGTTCAAATGTTAAGGGACCGTTCATAAATTATGGGTGGGTGTGGGTTTGGGATGATGATGATTTTTATGGAGAAGCATGTATAATGTTAATGATCCCTCCCCAATGTATGTACAAATGTAAGTGACACCCCATCATGTTCAAAATCAATGCCCCCTAATTTTAAAGCATAATAAGTTATGTACAAAATTTATGAACATTCCCCGCCCACACCCACACCCAAGATTGATGACTCCCCTACCTCAAGTACAAAATGTGTGACCGCGCCTTAAAATCATCATCACCCCCCCTTGCCATAAGTAGGCACGGTCCCTAAAGTTGATACCATACCAATTTTGAAGCAAGTGTTTGATAACGTACTGTGTGATATAAGATCATGACTGAATCACTACCAATATTCCTCATTCTGTCAAATATCAGAAGACCGAGTTTGTTTCAGGGTTCTGTCCTTCAAGATCTTAATGACCATGGCATTGTCCTTCAAGTGATGACCTCTCCTGACCCTCGTTTGTTAACGAGGCTAAACGTTCCTATTCCCACACATTACATCATCCACCAAGGAGGGATTTTCCGGCCTTTCATCCACCTGGTGGTGTTTTACAAAAGGGCAGACAACTTCTTGTGGCACAGTGCACTGGAACCATCGAAAACCACAGGTCTGAATTTATCATTTGGAAGGAATGCTGGAGCGTATGACAGGTATATTACTTGACCATAAGGGTTCGAATCACTGTTTGGACATTAATTTTTTCAAACAAAAATCGAGACTTTTGCAATCATATATTGTTTTATATGTTATGATTAACATATATTTCAAATTTGAACTAAATCGGTGAAGAAAAAACGATTTTAGAAAATTCTACCGCTGCACTATCATATATGATTGCAAAAGTCTAGATTTCTATTTTTAAGAATTATTCTGCAAACAGTGATTTGAACCCCAGTGGACTTGACAATACGATCCCTTTCAATTTTCATAAGAATGTATGCTAAAACCAGAGTCAATTGTACAATTCCAACAATATCATGAGCTGTTGCTTATAAATCACCGTCCAATAGTGACGATGCAAGGCGAATGTTTCCTGCCAGACTGGTGGCATCTGTTATTAACACACACAAAGGCAAGTAAATTGTTCATAAAGTAAAACATAGGAAATGTGGAAAAGTCAAAATATTCTATTGCATTAGACATCATTTCTGTCACTGTTTCTAGTTGAAAATGGAAATAAGTTACAGGAAACTAGTTATTCGACAGTTCTTGAACGTAAAGATCCGGGTTTGAATTGATCTTCAGCAATCCATGCTTGTCGTAAGAGGCGACTAACGGGATCGGGTGGTCAGATTCGCTGACTTGGTTGACACATGTCATCGTAACCCATTTGCGTAAATCGATGATCATGCTGTTGATCACTGGATTGTCTAGTCCAGACTCGATCATTTACAGACCGCCGACATATCAGCTGGAATATTGCTGAGTGCGGCGTTAAACAACAAACAGACGAGCAAAGAAACTGATGTCCAATATATATTCTGACCAGGTTCAATCTCCAAGGCATGACTGTAGACGGTATGAGGCTCCATTTCCCACATACAGTTGAGCAGTTCCTTGCCCAGATCTCAGAGTCGGAGTTTATTGAGTGCGATTACGAGAGGGCACAGAAATTTCTGGAACACAACCCCATGGTCGAAACTAATCTGACACAACGTGGGACTCGAGTCCTGTTGAAAGCCAAAAAGGTTCTTGATAGTATTGGCGTCACGTTTTCCCTCAGTTCCGGCACATGTCTTGGTGAGATTTCTTTTCATCATAATCATTCTAAACATTTCTAAATGTAAATTCTAGAAAAAGAGCATATTTGAACACTTGAACCAGAGTCGAAAGGAATTACTCTGACTGTTGCTGAAGTACACTACCTTTCATATTGAAATTTACATGGTCTGGATGTGACGTAAAAATTAATCATGTCTTCTTCCACACAATTTCTCATACACATCTTCATATCCGTTTCCTTCAAGTCCAGGTTAGAATTGATCTTCAGTAACCCATGCTTGTCGTAAGAGGCGACTAACGGGGTCGGGTGATCAGGCTCTCTGATTTGGTTGACACCGTATTCCATTTGCGAGGATTGATGCTCATGCTGTTGATCATTGGATTGTCTGGTCCAGGCTCGATTAATTACAGACCACCGCCATGTAGGTGGAATATTGCTGAGTGCGGCGTAAAACAACAAACCAAACGAAAACCATTTCTCATTACAACCTTTCTCTTAGTCTAGTGCATTGGCCTGTCTCTACGCTGAAGTTCCTTGTTCAAATCTCTATATCAATTCTAACAGCTCAAAATTGTTCGATTTTACAGGTTGGTATCGACAGTGTGACTTCATCCCTCATACTAAAGATATAGACATAGAGGTTCCTATCCAGGAGTTCAGCACAAGCATGATACCAGCATTTTTGAAGGCAGGATTTAAATTCCTGTCTATGGTAGGGAAGGTGAGGAAGTTTTAAAGAGAATGTTTAAACTTAACTGAAAGAAAGTCGGATTTGAGGCCTTTGGAGAAATTTTGTTTTCGCTTTTCTTTAGAGTAGGCAATATTAACCCCCTTCTTCGATTTGTTTTTAACTATTCTTTGATTAGCCAATGAAAATTATGTTTGGACTCTTATTTAGTTTAATCAAAATCAAAGACTTAAGGGTAAATGTTTTGAACCTTTCTTTAGAGTAGTCATCTATGGAACAGCATGTTAACCAACTCTCTTCCAAATTCGCTACAGTAGCAAGATAGGACATCTTCTACACAGCCACAACTAAACGCGTGATGCAAACTGTCATCACTTCACGTCTTGACATCCCAGCCTCATGCATGTCAAAACTACAGAGAATTAATAATGCACCAGCACGACTAGTGTCAAGAACTAAACGATTTGATCATATCTCCACAGTTTCCAGTCTCTCCACTGGCTTCCCATCAAACAACGCATCAGCTACAAGACTCTCCTCCTCACCCATAACTGCATCTATGATGGCTCTCACGGGTATACATCGCCACAGAGCACCTTCTGAAAAATGCAACTGAGTGGTGTCGGGTGATCCTGGCACAGTCATCAGCCCAGACAGCGAATGGGACTTTTTCCAGGAAACGCTGCCTAGTAGAACCCACCAAGAACTTTCCGGAGAATATGAAGGCTCCCCAACACAGTCTTCTGCATTATGCAGAGTGTCAGAAGGGCTGTACTCCCGGTGGAGAACCCGTGCACTCTCCTGATCTGCGCCAAGAGATCAGGAGGTACCAAACCAAGGGCACCGAGAACAATGGGGAGCCTGACGACAGTGTACTTGAGATGCAAGCTAGACATTTCAAAGGCGAGGTCTGCATATTTAGCATTCTTTTCCTGAATCTTGCCAATCACGTTGCAGTCAAAACGGACAGAACATTCTATTACTTAAATTCATTCATTGGCTTTATCAAAAAGGACAAGATCAGGTTTGTTGGCTGCAATTCTATGATGACAATTCCTGTTCTTAAAGGGACAGAAAATTCTATTACTTAAATTCATTCACTGGCTTTATCAAAAAGGACAAGATCAGGTTTGTTGGCTGCAATTCTTCTGAGGCTGTATATGGGCCTATTCCAGTGAAATTTAAAAGCATCATTTTCCATGACGCCCTGGACATGTTCAGGGTCGCACCATAGACCTCGGAGTCAAAGCCACAGGCATGGCGAAGACGATAGTAGAAACAACGAGCCATGCCATCATGTAATTTAAGATATGATGTTTGTGCCAAGGAAGGGCATCCACTGACTAGGTGTTGGACAGTCTGTAAATTCATTGCACAGTCGACATTTCATGTTGATGTTTTCTTTAAGAATCACATTTAGGCGATTGCGAGTGGGAAGTGACTGGTCCTGAGCAGCAAAAAGGAAGCCCTCTGTTTCACAGTTAAGACCAGCTGACTTCATCCAGGCGAAGGAGTCGATCGGGATTACTATTCTGTTCCACACATTGCATGTACGTGCGATGCAATGGCTTCTCGGAAAGCTTCTCCACAAATGACCACAAATGACCGACTCTGAGCAGACTTGGTGAATAACTTCACCTGGTTTACTCCCATCGCTGTACCGTCCAGCAGTACATCGCCATCAACAAAATCAACCTCAAATTTCAGATTTTGTTGTTATTATTATTATTATTATTATCATCATAATCATATCCATGTATCCGCTCCCTCGTTGCAGGTATCCGATAGTTTCAAAATAGCCTTTAAAGCTTTTGGCGTCAAGATTGATGTGAACTTCCTCTATGAGGAGACGACATATCTATGGTACGGGGGAACCGAAAGCAGAACTGGCCGTAAATTTAAGTGAGTGCTCACGGTTTGATTTGTGTTAACATCTTTATCACCAACCTACATTCTCCAATATGTGGATCTGCAAAGGTTTCTAAATTGTCCTAACTCACATTCATAAAGATTGTTGACCTTTTCGTTTGTTGGTTGGTTAACGCCGCACTCAGCAACTTTCCACCTCTATGACAGCGGTCTGTAAATAACATTCGTCCCAATCTCGAGGCTTGTTATATGCGAAAATACGACAAACCAATCAGAACGCGCGTAATGATTCGGGTGCTTTGATAAAAATAATCCTCAATTGTTTATGGCATTATGGTATTGTTTATTAGAGAAAGTGCGTTGGATATATGCAACATAATTAAGATATTACATCAATGATATAAATATGTTTTAATTACATTTTTTTGGGATTCACTCACACGTTTTGGATACATCACAAAGACACTGATATGAAAGGAAGGGAGCACAGTGCCAGTGTGGATGCCAACATCCACCACCAAGTGCAGTATGTTGACATTTGCCATCATTTATGACAAAGTGTCACATATAACTATGCTCACTACCTCTTGTGACAGATGTCCCATTGCTCGAGGAATGAGTCTCTGAACTCAAAGGCATTCTACACAAACATTTGCTGGGGGTTTCAATGTTATACTTGCAGTGTCATTTAAGAGCACATGGGTTCGAATCACTGTTTGGACAATAATTTGTAAAAATAAAAATCATGTATTGTTTTTGCGTGTTATGATTAACATATGTTTCGAGTTTGAACGAAATCGGTGGAGAAATACAGATTTTAGAAAATTATCCTGATACATAATATATAAATTATTGTCCCAACAGTGATTCGAACCCTTGTGGTTCTGAGTCTGGTGAGGAACTTTGTCCATTACTGAAAGCAATGCATATGGTACAAAATTCAATTTCAGATACATTTTGCCAAAGTCTAAAGTTTGCTGGACTGACTTCATGGGTCTCCGAGTCCGTGTCCCGTGTCCTGTTTTGCCCTACATCATCGCCAGCTTCGGCCCAAAGTGGAACACTTCAATAACGAGTTGGATCTGGACAGAAAGTGGTAGCAACGTGAAGAAGAACGGCGTGTGGTCAAAAGAAGACCGGGCCAGTTTTATGTATAATTAATAGTAAATAATACCAACTGCGTTCATCATTGAATTATGTATACTCAACCATTTAGACGTTCATGCAATGCGGGGCGGTGGGGTATCCTAATGGTTAAAGCGTTCGCTCGTCATGTCGAAGACCAGGGTTCGATTCCCCACATGAGTTCAATGTGTGAAGCCTCTCTTGCGTCCCTCGCCGTGATGTTGCTGGAATATTACCAAAAGCAGCGTCAAACCCACCATACCCACTCAATTAATGCAGTTCAATTATCCCCATTTTTCTTATAAACAGTCACGAGTTGACTAATTGACACCACCTAAGGTTCAAGTAAAGGTAATAAAACCCTTTCAACATCAGCAAGAAATCTCTGCTAAATGTATTTGTTGGTTGTTTAACGCCACTCAGCAATATTCCAGCTATATGGCGGCGGTCTGTAAATAATCGAGTCTGGACCAGACAATCCAGTTATCAACAGCATGAGCATCGATCTACGCCAATAAGATACGATGGCGTGTGTCAACCAAGTCAGCGAGTCTGACCACCCGATTCTTTAAGTCCACTCTTTGGACAAGCATGGGTTGCTGAAGACCAATTTTGACCCGGATCTTCACGGGTATCTGCTGAAAGTAAAGTCTATTGCTTAATTACGACTGCATCACGAGCATGTGATTATGAATCATTATCAAATAGTGATGATGTCTGACGTGTTGACTGAGACCTCCAGACGTTTCTGCAGAGACGGAGCGGAATATTTTTCACCAGATTCTGATACGACAGAGGCATTGATGTGTTTGGCCAACTAAACTACTATGAACTAATTGTGATTTGAGGTCATTCCTTCATGCCTTGCTTACATGCAGTATGAATCACATTTTTGTAAATAGAAGTGACAAAACTTTAATCACAACTTCTATGCAAGAATCAGATGACCCCTTTTTGAAATCATGATAAAAAGAGCATGTTCTTTAATTATGAATTCTAAGATTTGGCATGCATGTCAGGTGATATCTCAGGTAACAATTTCACGTTGTCACAACGTTATGTTTTCGTTGTAACAACGTTATTCTGTGGACTCTCATTTACGTTGTCACAATGTTATGCTTTCGTTGTTACAACGTTATTCTGTGGACTGCCATTTACGTTGTCACAACGTTATGCTTTCGTTGTTACAACGTTATTCTGTGGACTCCCATTTACGTTGTCACAACGTTATGCTTTCGTTGTTACGTTATTCTGTGGACTCTCATTTACGTTGTCACAACGTTATGCTTTCGTTGTAACAACGTTATTCTGTGGACTCCCATTTACGTTGTCACAACGTTGTTGGGTATTGTGACGTGACGTTGTGCTAAGTCATTTTCCCGTCGTCACAATGTTTACGTTATTTGATGCTAACGTATTTAACCTTGTCTTCACGTTCTGTTCAATAATAGTTGAATAGTTTTCACAGTACATAAGACACAAAGGAGAAATTCACCTCAATGTTTATTCTTCAAATTGCATGTTGTTTTGTTCGTTAGTTTTCTGAAGTTCTTGCTGAATAGTGAAGAAAGAATCTCAAAGTGAAAAGTTTTACAGAAAACTCTATCGTGACACCAAGTTATCGTGTAATAGTCGATACAGAACGTTGTGACAACGTATTTATTACCCACGTGGTCAACGTATGGGTAGTTGCATATTGATCTCGTACGTCACACGAGTGTCGTATTGCGTTGACCTGTGTCGTAACGACTTGACCTGAAATTCTAACGATTTGATTGGATAACCGATGACCTCTCAATTAGGTAACATTCTGACGTAACTATTTTTTCATTCATAACAAACACGTGAATTCATTCGTTCTACAACTTAAATGCATTGTGGGAATGTAAACATTGCGAACGTTGCCGTGTCGCTGTTTAATTGTGAGTCGAACTGAGACATTATATCCGTCGAAAACCATAAACGCAATGTTTCCACCAGTGATGTTAGCCGAATGAAGCAACTGGAAACCAAGAAACGAGGTGCTACGGAGTAGTTTACTGTAGGAGGCTGTACGAGGCGATGACAACTGACATGCATCGTGACGTCGGTTACCATGGCAGTGACGTCATTAGTGTGACGTCATGCAAATATTGTACTACAGTACAAAACTCTTCCGCAACCTCTTTATGAAACCGGTTTCGGTTTGAAACCAAAACATAACAAAACTACGCTATTTTGTCAATTTAAATGCATGTAAGACGTGGGTAATAAATAAAATACCACACTCGGTCTCATTACATACGAATTATACGAAACTCGTGACCTTCCTATGTTATCTGACCTCGCTTTCGCTCGGTCAGATACCATAGGAAGGACACTCGTTTCGTATAATTCGTATGTAATGAGACCTCGTGTAGTATTCTCTATTTATTACCCACGTGGTCAACGTATGGGTAGTTGCATATTGATCTCGTACGTCACACGAGTGTCGTATTGCGTTGACCTGTGTCGTAACGACTTGACCTGAAATTCTAACGATTTGATTGGATAACCGATGACCTCTCAATTAGGTCACATTCTGACGTAACTATTTTTTCATTCATAACAAACACGTGAATTCATTCGTTCTACAACTTAAATGCATTGTGGGAATGTAAACATTGCGAACGTTGCCGTGTCGCTGTTTAATTGTGAGTCGAACTGAGACATTATATCCGTCGAAAACCATAAACGCAATGTTTCCACCAGTGATGTTAGCCGAATGAAGCAACTGGAAACCAAGAAACGAGGTGCTACGGAGTAGTTTACTGTAGGAGGCTGTACGAGGCGATGACAACTGCCATGCATCGTGACGTCGGTTACCATGGCAGTGACGTCATTAGTGTGACGTCATGCAAATATTGTACTACAGTACAAAACTCTTCTGCAACCTCTTTATGAAACCGGTTTCGGTTTGAAACCAAAAACATAACAAAAATACGCTATTTTGTCAATTTAAATGCATGTAAGACGTAGGTAATAAACAAAATACCACACTCGGTCTCATTACATACGAATTATACGAAACTCGTGACCTTTCGCTCGGTCAGATACCATAGGAAGGACACTCGTTTCGTATAATTCGTATGTAATGAGACCTCGTGTAGTATTCTCTATGTATGTAACGTTGTGAAATAACGTTATAAAATGACGTAATACTAACGTTGTGTCATGACGTTACCAATCTACAACCTTCCCACTTCCCATTTCTGGTGTCCCCCCGCAGTGATATTGCTGGAATATTGCTAAAAGCGGCTTAAAACTACACTCACTCACTCATTGACTACCAAGTACATAATCCAGGCTTCCGAGGTTGTGGTTTGTATCTACAATATTATACTGCCATGACAAGTGATAATGTTTCCCCAAACGGGTTGTTTCTGTTTCTCATGTTGAATCTGTATCAGCTTAAGTGTGGTAATAAGTTCAGAATGACTGAGTCTATAGATTTATACAATCTTGATGCAAAGTTGGCGCTACTTACATCAAAACATTAGACACGGTTGTCATACAACATATGTTATATTTGGGATTACACTTTCTTAGTAAAGTACAAATTCTAGTACTTTTTGGGGTTGATTCCCACCTGGGATTCGCTCGGTGGGCGGGTTAGGCGGCTGACTTTGTGTGCTGGCGATTTGGTGCCTGACTCTGTGGGTGTGGGTTCGAATCCCGGATGGGACTCAACCCCAAAAAGTACTAGAATTTGTACTTAACTAAGAAAGTGTAATCCCAAATATAACATATGTTACATTTGACCACTTTCTAAATCGCATTGTGTAATCACGGCTGTCATAGTTGCTTCAAGACTTCGTCCAGTCGTTTCTACATGTACTTGTGAAAAGGCATCTCAGATGAATGATCCATCTATAAAGCATGTGTATCTTGGCGAACATCAACAAGACACAATGATTGCCTTGTACCCCCCAACTCCACTCACTTTTGTTCTAACAGAGATTAGAAAGTCACTAGTTGTGATCAGCGTATGTACAAAAGCTTCTTCCTGCCAAGATAATTGATTACTGAGGGGCGGTGGGGTAGCTTTGTGGTTAAGCGTTGGTTCGTCACGCCGAAGGCCCGGGTTCGATTCCCCATATGGGTACAATGTGTGAAGCCCATTTCTGGTGTCCCCCTCCGTGATATTGCTGTAATATTGCTGAAAGCGGCGTAAAACCAGTTTCACTTTGTTTACTGAAAAAACACATTGACCAATTCAGCGCCATTACTAATTATATAAGACATCGAAGCTACATTGCCTCCCATAACATAGGACACGTTGGTTCTCCTCGACATTGTTTTGCTTACCATCTTATTTCTTCACGAATGCTCTTCTACACAACTGATCTATAACGCGTTACATGTCACAACAGATGTGTTAGGAGTTTAAGGACCTGGGGTCGTATTTATCAAACAACTAAGTTTTTTAATGACTTAAGTTGTTTGATAAGTACGGCCCCTGGGGCCCGATTCACAAGGCGTTTGTAGCGTTACGACCTGTCGTAACTCTATAGTTTATCATAGGTTTACGAATGTCGTAGCGCTACGAACGCTTTGTGGATCGGGGCCCTGAACCACCTTGTTGGTGGGACTCACATGAAGCCTGGTTTTCATTTTTGGGGGGTTTACGATGAGCATGTTTCAAAGGTGCAGCTTCATATGACTGACTGAGTGTAGTTTTACGCCACTTTTAGCAATATTCCAGCAATATCACGGCGGGGGACACCAGAAATGGGCTTCACACGTTGTGCCCATGTGGGGAATCGAACCCGGGTCCTCGGCGTGACGAGCCAACGCTTTAACCACTAGGCTACCCCACCGCCCCAGCTTCATATGAAATAAGCGCCCTTAACACAAGTTGTCATGGTAACTCACGGTGTCAAAAATTAGATTGACTGGTCCAGACTGGTTTGTCTACAGATCGCGTCGTAAAGCTGTAACACTGCTGAATGCGTCGTCAAACACATCCTCATGATAATGTCAGAATTGTAAAGTCCACTCTGATTTTAGCCGAGATATCTTACGGAGTGGAATAGGTTTTACAGATGGGGAATGGATTTGATCGCATCTATTAAGAAACTTGCTTCAACAGTATGTTCCATGCTATGTAAACTACAAAATCTTGTGTGGCCATTTACCATTGTTACATTAAGTTCAGTACCAAACGATTTCTTGGTGACACTCTCCGTTTTTCATTCAACAACTGCAATGGCTGCTTTCTTATCACCAGTATGCGAGTCTTTTATGACAAACACGAGACGGATTTAAACAGTCATTTTCTCTCACCTAATAAATGACTGTAAGGGATAAAGGGGTTGATTCTCTTCAATAAAATTGTAAGAAGTCACTATTCGTATTCTGTGTCCTTTTTTGCACCCAACATCGTCTCAGTATCAGCTCAGTTGTTGAAGCACAACTCATAGTAAAATGGACATGTGTGCTGCAATATAATTTCTTGGGTTCGTGGATACGTTCTGTGCTGCGTATAATAATTTTCTTGACAAAGGATTCGTACCATTTTCTCACAACCAAATATGCAAATATTGGCAAACAAAATATACTTTAATTCTGTCAGTTTTCCCTACATTCTTCTAAGTCCATTTGGTTGGAAGGGAAATATGTGACACCATCAACTGTATCATAGCATTGTATCAGTTTGAGAACCGTTGCCATGTTTACTTATAAGATAATGTGTTTAGTAAATGTTTTCATGTGTAAAATTATTGAGTATAAACATGCTGAAATACCATTGAAACTTCTGGCATAAACTGCATCAAATACATATCTCAAGGTCTCGATTGCTCCACAATAACATGCATCTCATAAGAAAAAACATTACAACTGTTTTGAAAACTTCTTTTTTTAATCTGACACCATGTACAGTGACATAACATATCAACAATCAAAAGAAAACTAAAGCATCATGAGCTCTTGAATAATTTGCCATGTATCTTATAATGAGAAGAGCAAAATCTAAAGCATCACACACTCAGTTTATGCAGAAGCATTAACAAATCATGGCACCCAGTTAAATAAAGGACCCAGATAGTCCGCAGTTCAATATCTGGCAATCTGATGACTGACTGTTTACGAAAATATGGACAATGTACACAGAATGAATCTGCTTCTGTAACTAACGACCTAATTTCAGCACTGTGATTGGTTTGTGGAAAGGGACCCTGAAAAAAAATGACATGACATGACTCTTCACTTATTATTACTTGGTCAACATATTTCACCAAAACTGTGCCGGTGGTCAGTTGTTTGTATTTGATAAGTTTCTCCCAAACCCCCCCTGGAATGTTGGTCTCTCAGGGATCCTTCATGCCACAAGGATAAATAATATTGTTTCTACACCACAGTAAGGAATAGGCAAGTCTGTGCTGACAGTTTGAAATAAACATGTATGAACCACACAATCCAGTGATTGATATTATGATCACTGGAGTATGAAGACACACAATCTATCTGGTCCCTGACATAGACCACCTGATGCATTAAGTCAGGTATAACTTTACCAACACCATCTCTAGGATCTTTGAAATGAGTCAGGTTTTTATTATCACTGTGAAGGTCATTCTCTTGAACATTAACCCACATAAACAACAATATTGATTCCAACCAACTCTGGGCATAGCCTTATATCTAAACCTAGATTATGAATGTATAGTGCCTTTTAGAAAGTGGTCAATTACACTTTCTCAGTGAAGTACATATTCTAGTACTTATGGGGTTGAGTTTGATCCTAGATTTACAAAGTCAGCAATCTAACCCACTCACAAAGAGTGGAAGACTAGCTACTGGTTGTCTAGATCATGTTCTTTGTTCACCCCTCTGACAAGTGTAAATTAGTCTAAACTGAAATTATTTTGGATAGGTATTTCATTTATTCTTGCTGAATAATCTATCTGGCACCTTCATCAATTGAAAAAACAGTTATCATGGTTACACAAAACATCTTATGTCTTGTTCATGTATTTGAAACAGTGAGTGAGTGAGTGAGCTAGCTAAGACCAACAGTACATAATGATAGACTAGAGAACTTATATTAGAATATCTGGGAGTTTATAATCTATGACCGAGCCTCAAACAAGCTTTGAGTGCCTTGTATCCATGTACTTGAAACATAATAAACATATATTAAGATGACACACAAGTTGGTGACCATCTGACCAATCATGTGATGTGATTTATCAGCTTTCCAACTTAAAAAAACTGGTGTAAAAATAGTTTTGTCTAGACTATCACAGGTACACTTGGGAAATCCTGACAAGTGAACATTTGATTTTAAATGCTTACAAAACATGTACACATTAATAATGCCCACTGCAATATACATTAGGACACAAATCACATTTAAAGACCCTGAAATATCTTCAAATCTAATATCAAACATCTATGTTAGACTGATAAAAATGTTCAGTCATTGTTGCATCTCTTCGCTCAAGACTGCTCAGGGTGCGATTTCACTATTTACAACCTGCACTGGTGCATGTTAAAAATGGCTGGAGCGTGGTAACTTCAGTAACAGGATGCACCTGTGGAGGTAACAATAAATCCTCCAACATCTCATAACTGTCATTGTGTGTTTTAATTGGGACTGACTGACTGAGTTTGGTTTTACACCGCTTTTAGCAATATTCCAGCAATATCACGGCGGGGGACAACAGAAATGGGCTTCACTCATTGTACCCATGTGGGGAATCGAACCCGGCTCTGTTTTAATTGGGAAGTAAGTGACTGGAAGTAATATGTTTCTCTCCACATGACTTGTTACAAGCATAAACATTTGTGATCTCATAAATCAGTAATGTAGCAGTGATCATATAATTGAGATTTGATAAAGGTAATGCAAAATTGAAACAGAATCATTCATGATTCAACATCATGGGGTTAGGATCTGTTGAATGTAGGAGGGGCCTACCAAAAGTAGTCGTCCTAACTATATTCTCGATGTCCAATGTTATAAACGCTTCCATTTTATTTTTTTAAGGAATCATTAGCAAAGCCATATCCAAAATTTCACATATGTGGGTAATGTGGTTAACGAGATATTAGTCACAACAATACACTGGGGTATAATATTTCTTTAAAAAATTGCAGAAAGTGAAAAACAATCTCTAATTTTGTTCCTCTTGGATAATGGCATGCCCTCAGATAATATCATATAAAATATGTTAGTATAGTATTGGATGACTTCCCGTCATAATCAACATTCAAAGATTTTGATTGCTTAATTTATGTTTAGACGGGGCTGTTTTTAAAGGACACCCCCATTTTAATCTTTCAAAAACATTGTGTCCAGCTATTCAAGCTGGCCCTGTCTACAATATATTGAGTGCTGACACTTGTGTGACCATTCAGTATTTAGTTTGAACCCTTGGCATCATGGCATCATGTTTGAAGAAGTGAAAACATTAGAATAAATTATGTCCTTATGATTACGTTATCTGAAAGGGTTCTTTCAGTAAAACAAGCACCATCAGGGGAGGGGCAGGAAAAAAAGTCACTTAACAAGCGATTGTAGTTTCAAATTGCATTTTTTTGCACTTGAATATCTACATTTGATTCTAGAGGACTTCTGCCTATCTAAAACACACAAAATGTTTCTTGCATATTTTGTTTCCTGAAGTTTGTGTTGCATTTATTGCAGATGTTGCGTTTTTTGGGGGGTACCAAGATAAAGAGTCAAACAAAATGGGGATCGTGAGGCTGGAACATGGCAAAAGCAATTTGCTTGAGGTTGACAGATAATATGTAGAAAAATAAAACAAAAACAGTTGCATTTGTATAATCTTCTAGGTGAGGCTGACTACTTTTAATAATAATAATAATGAGAAGTCTTATAATGCGCTAATCTCCACGCAACAAAGCATTCTCAAAATGCTAACACCCTGATTATTATTACCCCGGATAACCCAAGCTGCCTGTTAGGCGCTAGAAGGTTATAGTCACATGACTTTATCCAACCGGGTACCCATTTTCTGCTGGGTGAACAGAGGCAATTTTGAACAAACTCACTTGCCTAAGGTGAGACCACATGTATCACATGTGCTTTGTTGTGGGGAAGGACGGTAGTCCTAGAAACTCTCAGGAGTCAAGCTGTCAAACACAGTCACCCATCCAAGGACTGTCCGAGCTCGCTGTTGCTTAACTTCAACTGATTCGTGACCTGCACTCTGTGCACAGGACCACACGCCACCACATGGGATGCCCCTCGTGTCTGATACTGAGTACTTGTTATGAAAATTGCAAAACAAGCATTTATACCTTTAAGAAGCAGTGACATTATTTTTATGGTGCAGCTTAAACCTATAAGACAGGTTGCACCAATGCAGGTACTGAAGAAAAAAAAGCGAAATTGCACCCTGAGAACAAAACTGTACACAGAGACTATCACATTGGTCTCCTTACTCATGTTCAATGATGAGAGCTTTTATTCTCATCACATGGAATCAGTTTTCCATTTCTGAAAATAATCTTACATCAGGCCATATTGCATGTTTTGATATCAAAACACCATGTGATAAAAATATGAAGATGTTATCTCATACCAAAAAAAATACTACTAGTTCAAAATATATGTCAACAATTTGTTAACCAAATTGTGCCCCAAATGACCTCTCCTTTGAGATACCTCCCACCTGAGGTTATTATATTATCTTCTGACACTTTGAGAACACCTTGATTACAGAATTAAATCAATTGTATAACGATACTGTTATCTTGTCAATAATTGTGCTCTTATTTCCACACTTAACGATGACACAGCGGAGTATACATGTACTACATATTTCCTCTGTATTTGGTAGTTTTTCACATGTGGAGGCAAAGTAAAAAGCAATCCAAATATTTATACATCTGTCTTATAACCAGTCAAATGGTTGAAATCACAAAACAATTCAACCACATAAGGCTAAACAATGAAATGAGTGAGTATAGAAACATTATCTGTCAAACCTGAATTGGTTACTTAGTGGCTTTCACAAATAGACAAACAAAGCAATGAGTTAACATTAAGGGAAACACATACACGCGTTGGATTAGTTGAAAATAATGTTAGCTGTATCTTTTTGGTTAGCAGTTATAACTAAGTAAATCGTTCAAAGGTTTGTTGGATTTGAAGGCGTCTGCCCCACTCCTGAAGGGCGATGTTCACCCTGCATGGTCAGCAGCTTATGACTGACTGACTGAGTTTAGTTTTACACCGCTTTTAGCAATATTCCAGCAACATCATGACGGGGGACACCAGAAATGGGCTTCACACAATGTACCCATGTGGGGATTCGAACCCGGGTCTTTGATGTGACGAGCCAACGCTTTAACCATTAGGCTACCCCACCGCCCCGTCAGCAGCTTATGATGTCGATGCACACCCATGTCCCAGAAATGTTTACTGGGGGCAGGTCTGGGTTCATTGCTGTAGATGGAATTCTATGGATGTTGTGTGACTGAAAGCAAGCTTCGGCCCTTTGGTGCACTTTGACAGGTGTTGACAGACAGCCTTGTAAACTTGACAACAAAGGGAACAAGACACGACCTTGAAAGCGTCGAAATCAGAAACACCCTACTCCAATGTGTTGGGTGTTGTGTACAATAAATGCAAAGCATTGGATGTGTTTTACTTTTCGCAGACATAAACATCCTTCACTTCTAATACCTGACATTCACATTGATCTGTCATCCCTTACTTCTTAAATTTAAAGAGTATAATGGCGAGAACATATGTACAATTACATAAACACTTTTAAACAGTATACAGAATTAAGAGAGCAACATCAACCCATTAAGGAAGGTTTTTCATCTGACATTTTCTTATACTTCTTCTAGTATACCTATGATGGTGGTGATTACAAGCTATAAAGATGGGAGTAAAACTATAAAGATGGGAGCTGATGAAAACATTCACATCTGTTAACTCCCTCGACCATTAAACTTAAGTTATTAAGATTTCAATGTATATAAAGGCGGTGACTTCAACCCCTCAGGAACCTGTAAAGATGGTGGTCCTGTTGTCTAGTGTCGCCTTGGTCTCCATATACCAATAGAAACGTCACAACTGGCACTGGCCAAAACCCTGTTCTGGTAGGAAATCTGAAATGACAGAAATTCGGTTAAACCAAGAAATCCAAGCATCAGGCAGGAGCAAGTAACATTGCTTTATGTCTTTTGATATGAGTGAGTAAATGAATTTGGTTTTCGGCAACATCACAGTGGGCGACACCAGAAATGGGCTTCACACATTATACCCATGTGGGGAATCAAACTCAGGTCTTCGGCGTGACAAGCAAAAGCTTTAACCACTAGGCTACCCAACCACCCCTCTTTTGATGCGAGTCTGTCAGGTATTGAACCAAAGGCCTTTTCATTCTCAGGGCAGATGTTCTATCAAGTAGACTATGACGGCAGTCTAATCTAGATAAAAATCCTCGTGAAATTATTCTAATGCAATCATTTTCAATGTAACCTACAGGCATGTCAAGCTAGTTGCTGCTGCTGTTTCTGATAATGCAATCAATGCAAGTTAGTATAATGATAAAAGGTTTCTTTTAATTGGAAACCACACTCCATAGTGACCCACATGGCATATGTTTCTTACACACCATATCTTTAAAGATAACTTCATATATCCAGTGACAGGCTCCAAAATATTTGGTCTCTTAGTCCTGTTCTTCTAAACCTTAGTTAAAGGGACCGCCTCCGTGGTGTAGTGGTTAGAGCGTCCGCCGGAGAGCGGAAGTCGCAGGTTCGATCCCCGACCGTGTCATACCAAAAGACGTTAAAATATGGTATACTGGGACTCTCTATTATCGCGGGCTCTCTATTATCGCGTCACGCGAAAACATCGGGAAAGCAGAAACACCACGCCCTGCATCGGCTGTTTACATATGCAAATTACGTAAAATAAATTCATCGCTCTTGAAAAAGTCATTTATTTCATTGGAATGTTATGTGTAATCGGAAAAATATTAAAGCATTAATCTTTTCAGTAAGTTCTAGAACATTTTGAAACTAGTATGACCCCTACTGCCCTTACATCTAACATGAATCAAATCTTACTTCATCAAGAGCAATCCTGCGACAACTTTAAGGTCATTTGCATATTTTCCGTATAAAAATATAACAGGAAGTGACGATATATGCAACTTCACTCTGCACACGGCAGCTTAATTTGTATGGTAATGCTTTTAAGCCGAAAAACAATATTTTGTAACGCTATTGTTACCTTGTATCCAAATGAATAGAAGTTTCTGATGTTTGGGTTAAAAGCATGATGATATTACTAATGTGAATGAAATTCCTAAATATTTTTAATGATCAAACTATTTAGATTCGTTACTTGTCTTAGTAAACGTTTTACAGTGTCATCTGCTTGTACCGCGTGCCATAGTAAGAAAATCGCAATACCGCGATAATAGAGAGTTGCTTCAGTTACCGGGTCAAACGAGACAATCGGAATTGCCGCAATGGTATTAAACGAGTTGCGACCATGTGTCACATTATTTGTGACAGAAATGAAGATTAAACATCAGTCAACTGAAAATATATATAACATGCTAAATGTCAGTAGCCGTTCATAATCCCGATGGCGACAACATTAACTACCGCGATAATAGAGGGTCCCATGATACTTGTTGGTCGCTGCCTGGCGCCCGGCATTAATGGGTACATCAAGGACTGGTCGGCTCGGAGTCAGTATAATGTGTCTGAGTGGGGTATTCATGCTTCACTGCGGCATGGTATCTCAGTGGGCTAGCACTATAAAACCAGCTTCAGTCTGGGCTAGTACAAGCAGCCGCACATACACATACACACGCATGCACGTCGTCATATGAGCGAAATATTCTCGAGTACGACGTTAAACCCAATTTCACCTCACCTCACCACACCTTAGTTAAAGATATGTAAGTGAGTCGTACCCCTGTTACTCCATCAAGATGGCTGTTGAGTGTTGCTATGACTCCGGGGTCTCGACTCGGTTCCAGGACTTTAACTGTGTGGTCAGTGGAGCAGGTATACACAGCACCGAGGTTGTGGGTCACCCCGGTCAGCTTGCTCTTATGACCTACGTCAAATTTCTGGAACCAACACAACACAATACAGTGCTCAACAAGAAATGAACACATTCTACATCATACACAGGTCAGCCCTGAAGTCTATTAATGCTAAGCTATCAGTCTGACCATGTTACATTCAGCTTAAAGGTCACATGCAACGTAAAACACAACTTTGCAGATTCTGATACCTTTCGGTATGGACTTACCGAAACAAAGCGTCAAAAATGCAAATTCAACTTATAAAGTAAAAATAACGCGATGAAAAAAACCGCGCGAAATCGGAGTTCAAACGTTTCACTAATTTTCCCCAGACTTTTCTGGGGAATACGAGTTTCAACAGCTGGGCTGCGCTCATAGCACGTGCGCAGTGAAATAGGTTCGCGCAACTTGGAAGCGGGCTGTCTGGTGAATACTCGGTGAAGGCTTTGGTGTGAGCTATTTTCATAATGTTTTGTTGATATCTCACAGGCGCGAGCTTTTTATATGTTATGACAGTAAATAAACTGTTAATATAATTTCATTTGTCTATTTCACCACACGTTCTTCTTACCGAGTCACTTTCTCAGTTCGATACAATGTCATTATTGAGCGTTGACACAATTTCTAACTGTGATATAGATATGTCGCTGTCACAGACAAAACTCAATGTCTTGTTTTATTGACACCTGTGTGTCTGCCTGCCTGTCTGCTAATGACAATATTCAATACACAACTGCGATCACTGACCACATGCAATTTGAACTTAACACCAATCAGGCTATACACCATAAACAAAACGCATTGATTTATGGCCCGAGTTCGGTCTCTGTCACATTATGTAATTACACAGACAGGCAGGTGTGATACTTGAACACATGACATGTTATGATGTCTGTTGATTGCAAAATGTTATACACAAAAAATGAGCATGTATTTATAAAACCCAACATCTCTATATATACACACACAATGAGCCGTGAAGGCGGCATCTGCCAATGATCCAGCCGTTACACTTGAGTGCACACCCACCCGCTCTGACTGGGTTCGGTATCCCGGCTGCTTCGTTTCGAGGGCGGTAAACCCAAGTACAAAATATTGCACTTTTGATTTGCGATTATACGCTTATAATTTTGTTTATTTGTTTTTTCATAATCAGCAATGCATATTATATGTCATGAAGAAGTGATAATTGTGTTTTAATTATGTTTGATTTTTGGGTTGCATGTGACCTTTAAGCAAATACAAATAGAACAGCAGCTGAGGTAGTTGAAACGGAAAGCTATTCAACAGTACATAATACACCTATTAATTTATCAACACCTATTGTTAGCTAGCCTGACAATGCACTATGTGCAGTACTGAAATTAAAATTCATTTTTTCCTTCAAGACCCATTCAGCAAAATATGGCCACGTCAGATCAAATCAGATATTGCGATACATTAAAAACACTTGGTTACATTTTGACCAACCAAACTGGCTCACTTAACACCACTTTGAACAGTTTTCCAGTCATATCATGGTGTAAACAGGAAAACCAAGATTGGAACCAACAATCACAGCTCAAATACAACTCAAGCCAAAATAATGAAAAACATGGCCTCAGAATAACATAAACAAGGAGAGGGGGGGTGGGGGGGTGGTTTTAAAAAAAGAAAACAATAACCCCACTATTCACTTTTACATACAAATGAAAAAACAAAATGGGCACATTTTAATTCTGAAATCATGTGTCACAACACGCAGTGCATACTGAGCAAGGCAATACATAAATGAGCTCAGTTTCAGTCCAGGAAGTTTACCTCAACAAGATCAAATGCTCCATGTGAGGTATCCAAGAGATGCAGAAACCCCTGCTTGTCTCCGAACCACAGTTGGTTGTTGCCATAGCTCATGTCCAGAGGGTAGGTATCCAACTAAAAGGACAGGAAGTTATGAGTTGTCTCCCTGTAGTAATGCACAAGCTCCATACAGTAGAGTCTTGATTCCTGACTAATACCATCCATGTTACTAGACACAACTCGCCGCAGTGCTAGGTGGCTTACAACCATGAATGGAGTGAGAGACAATTATGTTAACAGGCACACAAAGAGTGTCATGAGAGTCATGACACACAATACATGGCCTATCTCAAATGTTTCATCTGTTTGTCAACTGCAATGTGTCAAATTGACAACCAATTTCATAACAGATGTCAGTGGAAGATGTTATGGTTGATTTACCTATAACACCAAGTTGACCACAATTACCATCATGTCCACATTAAACTGACACAAATAATGGCTCAAATAACATATTTTTTCAGACCAATATTTTTCTGTTGGCACATGCTAATTTCAAAGACTTGCCTAAACATCTAAAGAGCCTTCAGACACAGTTCAGAAAACCCAATTTCAATCCCAAATAATAAGGATATACATGTACAAATTCAGACATTACTGGACATTGTACCTCTAGTCTCTTGTAATTCTTGTCAGCTCTACGATCATAAATGCAGATTGTTTTGTCTTCACTCCCTGTGATGATAAACTGGTCGTCGACGGCAACACACAGCACTGGTTTTCGGTGATATGTTTTCTTGGTGATGGTGCCACAAATGTAATTTTCTGAGTAAAATTGATATTTTATACTTATCCTGACTCATGCTCTTTTGCTTGTCCCCTTCCTCTTGCTTAACATAGTGTGGACACTTGTATCTCCTTAATTGAAGCTCCCTCAATGTAAAATCACTAATTGGTACTCACCCACGAAGTTACCTCCCCTGCCGTAGCTGAACAGGTGTCGCCACCCTCTGGCCTCATGCTTCACTCTCTCCTGATTTTGCGAGCCCAACACTTGAATTTACAGGGAAATCCAAAGTGTTATGTGGGAGGATGGAGGGAGTTAATATCATGAGTCAGGATAAGTATAAAATATCAATTTTACTCAGAAAATTACATATTTTTCCTTATCCTGACTCATGCTCTTTTGTTTGTAGAATCCAATCGGAGAGGTGGTGGGTAAACAGAATACTTTGGATTAATTAGTGATTTAAGTAAGTGATATTGTAATAACTTCATGGAACTTCATAAGGCATTGAGACTTAGGATATTTCCTTATAATAATCCATAGATATATACACTATAAGTGGGTATTACCTTACTAATATACTGATATATCAATATATATATATAAACTGCTACTCTAACGTAGCTGTACACTGAATATAACTCAGTATGAGCTTAAGGTTGAATAACCTAAGCTAAATATGTACATAGCCCTAGAACTCCATGGAGTTATAAGCTAGTGAATATATGTATCATATATCTAATAATCTCGTAAGTGAATATTAACGCCACGAGGGACTGTCAATTGCTGAGCGAGGACCAAAGGACCGAAATGATGAATGCCAGAGACGCCCTCGGTGGTGATATCTCTGAGATAGTGATTAGCAAACACCATGTTAGATTTCCAAAAGCATCCTTCCATAATTGTATTCAATGAACAGTTACCATGAAGGGCGAGGGTGGATGCCAATGCCCTGATTTCATGGGGATTTGATGCTGTTGAGGGTCCAGTCCTGCTGCCTTATAGGCCAGAAATGACAGTTCTTATCCATATTGATATGGTGGTACGAGAGACTTCTGTCTGATTTGTAGGCTTATAACGGATGAACAATCTTCTGAGCCGATCTTCGCTTTGTTTTGGAACCACGTGAAATAGATTATGAGAGCTCGTGACTGGGCATAGAGATAAGTCCAATGTATCTTGAGATCCAAGAATTGAGGATAGCGCAGGGATGTGAAATAACCTGTCTGGTTGACCTGGTAGTTGATTTTAGCCATGAAATCCCATCTTAATCCCAGGTGCTTGTCTTTTGATTTTCATCAAACTGTATCCTCTCATAATCTAGAGCATGAATTTCAGATATTCTGGCTGCCGTGGCTAGCTTATAACAGGAAGACTGTTTTCTGTGAGAGAAATTCAAACGCTGTCGATTCCAATGGTTCGTAATCCTCACTTGTGAGGTGTCGTGAAACTACATTCAGATCCCAAGCTGGGCGGGAATTTCCGCTTTGGTCCTCCAATCGAAAGCACGAGTAAGGCCAGTAACTCTGGTGTTCTTGTTAATTTAACACCCGCTCTCATAGAAATCACAGAACTAAGCGCCGCAAGATATGTTGACAATGTCGAGCCTTTTAAATGTTTGTTTTGGCCGTAAGTAACACAAATAGTCTCGCCACTTGAGGATGCGAGCATCTCTCGCTGTAAAACCCTTGTTTGTTGCATAATTTTCAAACTTTGCCACTTGTCATCGCATTGCCACGCTGCTGAGTATCGTAAGGCAAGCGCGGACCGCTTTTGCCGCTGGTAGAATATCCTCTTGTTTAAACACATTTTAATACAGTCCATACGCGAAGTTTGAATACTTCTGGGTTTCTGTGCACCTGTTTGGTGTGGGATGTATTAACAGGTTTGCGCCATTGGGTAGTTCTAGTGCCGGGTTGACCGATATCTTGTATTAAGGCGGAAACCACGCTCTGGCCGGCCAATAGGGCTGCACCAAAGTGAGTTGTAGGCTCTGCGCTTGGTTGATTTTCTGTAATACTAGAGGTATTATTGCTGGGGCGAAACGCTGCACGCATTGAGGCCTTCCCATGAAATGCTTAGAGCCGCCTGTTGCCCATGCTTGTGGGTCTGGCACTGGTGACACGAATGTCGGTAGTTGATTGTTGAACCTTGTGGCTTAATAGATCTACTAGCGGGCCCCTATTTGCTTGATTATCTGTGCAAATATCTCTGTATTGAGCATCCATTCTGTCGGGCGACGGTAGATGTGGCCCGAGAGAGCGCCTGCTAGTATATTCCTGGCTCCGGAATGTGGCATGCTTTGACATGTAGATTTAGATCTTGGATTAATTCAACAGTTGAAAGGTTAAATTCAAAAGGTTCGGCGATCTCGCTGAGCCTTGTCTGTTCACATAAAACGCCACTGTCGAAGTTGTCGGTATGTATCATCAGGTGCGATTCTGTAGAATGTTGCTCCAATGTCTTATGGCGCTGATTACAGCTTTCATCTCTAATGCTTATGTGGAGTTTGCTTTCTAGCTGAGTCCATAACCCTGATGTCGTCCGTTGAGAGATGAGCTCCCAACCTTGGAGCCACGCTGCCTACATATAGATGGGTCTTGAATTCCTGCTCTGCTAAACAAATCCCTTCGCAGACATTCGATTTCTTTGTCCACCATAATAGATGAGGTCTGAGATGTATCGGTAGACTGAATGGTTGTAGGTCGCCGAGATGTGTATTGACGAAGACCTGTAACGGACGAAACTGTAATCTGCCTATGACTGTCAAGTCTTGGGCTGATGTTAGAAGACCTAGTAAGCTCTGCCATTGTCGGCGGTAGCGTGACAGTAGAGCTGGTGGAATGATCTGTTGGATCTTGAGCCAACGGTCTTCTGGTACCACTATACGGTTGAGATTGGTGATAAATCGGATTCCTAGGAATTGCAGATCTTGGCGATGGTACTAGGTCCGACTTGTGTAAGTTTACTAACCATCCCAGCTGTGTTAGTAGCTTTATGATGTAGTTTAACTGTAGTTTGAGATGCTGTGGATCTTGATCTACTTGTATCCCGTCAGTCGAGGAAGAACGCGACTGCGCGAGCCCTTTGACGATGTAGATAGATAACAATCGGTTTCAAGTATCCTCGTGGAATAACCATGGGGCTGATGCTATTCAATGGGAGTACTTTCCACTGGTAATGTAACCCGCCTAGCGTAAACCGGCTATTTCCTGGATTCGGGATGTATTGGGATGTGCAGATAAGCATCTTGTAGATCTATACTGCCCATGTAGTCCATGGGGCTTAATCATCTGTCAGAGCTGCGTAGATGTATCATAGTGAACCTGGGTGGTTTGTTTAAGTAAGTCTTGTTGAATAAGCTCATGTTGTAAATGAGTCTGTATTTCTCCTTGGAGTTCTTCTTGGGTACTAGGAAAACTGGGGAGTAGAAACCTGGTTCGATGTTTCCTTGCTCTATTACTTCTATGGCCTGCTTGGTTAGGAGTAATGTAACCGCCTCTTTAACTTTAGTAGTTGTTGTGCCTCTACCTCGAACTTGTGAGGGTTGACTGTTAGTGGAGGCTTGGCCTGTAGTGGGATACTTAAACCGCTGAAGAATGTTGGAGACATAGGTGTCTTGAAGTATTCCCCAGTTTTCCCAGTGTAGTTGAAGACGCCCACCCACTTGTGACGGTTGTACTGGAACGGCTGGGGTGGAAGACTCCAGTCGCTCCAACCTGTCTTTCAGCTGCTTATAGTTGCGGAACCTCTGGGTGTCCTGCCTCGCCCTGACCCTCCTCTATAGTTGCCATATGGGCTTACTTTAAAAAGAATCTCTTCCCCTGAACTGGCAATCTTCCTGTCTCTAGCTCTTTGTAGGCCCGTGAATTTAGATCTCCCTGAGTATCTTTGTGAAGTCTGTCGAATGACACTGGCTAGCTGTCCATCGATTTAATCATCAGGACTTCTAGAATCCTTGGTGACTTCTTTGGAGACTGTGTCTATTCCTCCGCAAATATGGATGGGGAAGACCACGGGCTGTATATAGTGGAGCTGTAAAGTTCTCACCCCAGTTGCAGGAAGCTAGGAGGCCTTGACGACGAAGCTAAGGTCAGTGCTGCTGAGACAGACGCCAGATGATCTGTTAAAACTGCTGGTCCTTCTTTGCATCAGTAGGGCCGAAAGTAAATCATTCTGTCATCTTCAGAGGTCGTGGTTCAAATCTGGAGATAAGTGTCTCATTTATTGTTCTAGATCTATTTAGACCGAAGAACATACTGGCCATGGTTTCTATCTGAACCACTTCCGATCATCAATCTTGTAGTACTTGTTCTTGGCATCGGAGATCAGCTTATAGTTCTCATCGATGTCTTGGCGCTTTGAAGAAGGGTTCCATATTATGCGGAGAACTTCTTGGCGCTTGAAATTTGGCAGATGTGGCGCCTGAACCTTTGTGGCTTTGTTAAATGCTGTATCTAGGTTCTGAGGTACCGCTAATCGGGTCGATTGGGGTAGTGTAATAGCATCTGCGCGCCATCTTCTTTCATCAGATAAGTCTGCTCTTTATTGCCACTTGAAGGTGATGAGAGATCTAGATTATTGACCATCCAATATCTTATCTCTGCATCTGAGAAAATAATTCCTCCATCATCTTCCATTCCATCATCATAGATAAGAGGTTGTTGCTCTTCTGATGTAGGGCTGTGTGGCTCTATCTCTATATCGCTTGACGCTTGTGGAGATCTAGTTGTAGGCTTATGTGCAGACCTGTGAGGTGATCGACGCGGGTGATCGGCGCAGGTGATCGCCTTGGTGATCTATATCGATAGGTTGACCTTCTTGGCGATCTATGAGGGGACTGATAGCTTCGCTGGCTCTTGTGTAGTCCCTTGCTGATCTTTTAGATGAAGACGATCTGGGTTCAGGTGTCCTTCGCTAACGCCTTCGCTTCTTCAGATGTCCGTCCTGGGGAACGATGATATGACCTTCGCCGGCTTTTGCGCGGTGGTCTGGTGATCAGATTCCATATCTGAGTATGACGCCAAGAAGGTGATGATTCTTCCCGCCAAGGGCCCTTCGCTGGGCTGTACATCTGGGTCCTTCGTCGAGGTGGTCTGTGACTTCCTTCGCTGGCTGCATTGTCGCGGCTGCTACGCTGACAGATGGTGCCCCTGGGGTGCTGTTCACGCTGGAGCCTTCGCTGGCTCGACCCTGGGATGGCTGCTTCTCCAGTCTATAGTGGCCTTCCATCATAATCATGATCTGTTTCATAAGATCGCTTGGGATGATCTGCGACGTAGTAGATGGTGCCCTTTCTGCTGTGTTAGCGGTGGGGCCCTCAGCCATCTCGCCTGACATCAGTGTAGAGGCATCAGGCTGCTTGTTGATCTCTGCTGACGCCACTGTCGCTGTCACTGGTCGCTTCTTGTGTGCATGTCGGGTATGATGATCGGCTGGTCATCGAGAGGCCCAATTCTGCTGCTGGAACGATCTCGCCTGAGAAAGTTCTCGATGACTTCAGATTTCCTTTGGAGGAAGACGCTGCCCTGGGGTACGGTCTGCGCTGAGAAGACGCTGAGGCCCTCTTGGACTTTGTCTGCGATGACTGGATGTCTGGAGAGGCCGGTCGCTTCTTAGAGGTGACGGACTGCATCCCACGTCCCTCTTCCGATGGGGTCTCAAGCAGAACACCAGACGGGAGGGGATCACTCGACAGCAGTTGACTGGATGGGCAATCCGACGATCGGGCCATGTCTACACCTAGTTTGCGCGGACCTATCTGCAACACGCCTCAAGACGCAAAGATGGTATTTATCAAAGGCAGAATTGGTTAAATTTATGCAGTAACTGCAACGGAGTCAAACGCACAAGGCGTAGTACAACTAGGGCATACCACATGCGATCCGCAGCGAAAAACGTAATCTACAAATAGTACAGTTTTTCATCAATGTAAAACTAGCTGAACAATCACTTAACTCACGGAATAAACAGTAGAAATACGATTAATTATTAACGCAAATAACTGAAGGATACTAGCTATACCTTTATAGTAAACTATAAAAGGTAACTAACTAAGAAAACCAAAGGATATAGTGTGTAAGGAGACACAGGCGCCTCACATCCTGCTCACTGGGCTAAGAAGGAGAGAGTGAAGCATGAGGCCAGAGGGTGGCGACACCTGTTCCCGCTACGGCGGCAGGGAGGTAACTCGTGGGTGAGTACCAATTAGTGATTTTACATTGAAGGGAGCTTCAATTAAGGAGATACAAGTGTTCCACTATGTTCGCAAGAGGAAGGGGACAAGCAAAAGAGCATGAGTCAGGATAAGGAAAATAAGGGTTGGGCCATTTAGTCAATGAATACCTTTCGCCATTTAGAAAGTGGTGAGATGTACTGCATGATATTACACTATATTTATTTTAGATGGGAATTTATTTTGGATTACACTTTTTTGGTAAAATATAGGTTCTAGTACATTATTGGGTTGAATCCCATCTGTGATATGAACCCACAATTTCAGGAGTGAGGCATACAGTCGCCAACACACAAAGCTTGCAATCAAACCCACTCAGCCACCACAGCTCTCTTGGTAAAGTGTAATCCCAAAATAACATGTTACATCTGACCATTTTCTAAAAGGCATTTTTATAGCTTTTAGCCATGGTGGCCCTGCCTGTTTATACTTGTCAGAGGGTAACACATGTGATCTAGACTACCAATAGTCACACTTCCATTTTTGAGGAAGCTGCTGACCATTTACAACTTGACTCTTCACCGGCGGAATTTGCGTGTATCAAGAATTTCAGTTCATTTCTGATGATTGAAAGTAGCAGCAAACTCATCGAGGCACTTGTAAAATACTGAGCATTGGTAATGGCCTTACTTTAAATACTTAGAGTTATCTCCCTTACTCATTTTGTTTTTATATTAATCTCCGTCACATGGCTCAACACCTTCAGTGCCACATGGTACAGAATATTTCCTCTGTGAGAAGCTTGTTAAAAAAGCTTTCCTACAGTTATCGCTACCAGGCTCAATTGCATGGCTTAATTGTACGACATTTCAAGAGGACAGAATGTATCTATGCCAGAGGGTGATTCAAGACTTCTTCTACGTAAATACTTGGCCAGCATGAATCAGACACCTAGCACACATGAATATCCTACACATAATGTTACCTTATGGACCTTGTTGTCACTGAAGATCTCCATGTCCTTCTTGGAATCTTTCTTCATGGAGTCATACTTGTCAAGGTCAAGGATGGTCAAGTAGCGATCACGTGATCCGGCAGCCAGAATCTGTCCATCCTGTGAATATGACGAAGTAGAAACATCATATTAAGCAATTTGTCTATCAACATAAGTTTTTCTTAAACATTCTACAGGTCATCTTGGAACTAGGTGACAAAGACTAGCCATCTGCCACTTACAATTTGAAAGCAATGGACATCATATCTGTGGACATGCTTAGAAATCATATACCATCTAGAGATGAGTATTTTAATGTTACAATGAAGACAAATAACCACTGACAAAACTTAACTTTAAAAGAATTTCTCACATTCCAAGAAACATTAGTTGTACGCATGAAGCAATCTACAATCTTGATTGGTTTTAATATGATGCAATATTTTGTGTCCAGCCAAGAGAAAGCTCACCTTCATGAGATGGACGGTATCAACAGCAGCAAACAGACACTCATTATAGGTGAAATGTTCCAGGTGAGCTTCCTGATTGGTCCATGCAGCATGAGTTACCTCCCTTTCCTCACATGCCTCCTGCCAGTTTAAGTTGTCAACTGTTGGAGAGCAAATTTATCAAACTAAATCTATGGCTGTCAAAAAAGCAGTCAAAATTGTTTCATTGTTATTTCTCACATATTTCAGCCTCATGTGCATGGATCAAGGAAGAAGAAGAGTCCAGTTGAGCAATTATGCATAATGATTGATCAGAAGCAACAAAGAAAATTATTATCCCACCACCAAATACAAAAACAAAACATTACCCTGCTTTCAAACTTTATCTATTTCAAACTATTTTCGGGGCGATGGGGTAGTCTAGTGGTTAAAGCGTTGGCTCGTGGCGCCGAAGACCCGGGTTCGAATCCCCACATGGGTACAATGAGTGAAGCCCATTTCTGGTGTCCCCCGGCCGTGATATTGCTTGAATATTGCTAAAAGCGGCATAAAACCAAAACTCAGTCAGTCAGTCAAACTATTTTCATGATAATTAAAAATCAAGTTTGTAAGCAAATCAAAATCATCCATTATTCATCTTCTTCAATGAATTCTGTAGTTAGCATTATTGTTTATCATTCATTTCCAGTGCAGTGGGGTCATCTAGTTCTTCAAGCGTATGTCATCAGGCTAATCATGCTAATAGGTTGGGTTCAGTCTCCCAGATGGGTAAACAATGTGTGAAGCCCATTTCTGGTGTCCTCTGTGGAGGTATCGATCAAATCTTGCTAAAAGCAGAGTAAATCCATGCACGCTCACTCACTCATGCATTTGCAGTACCTAATTCTATCTGTGTAATATGTCTTATTCGATTATGAAGTTGATGTTTGTTAACCAGTTAACAGACATTGGCAACCATGGCAATGTTCCCAATACATCCACACCAACAGATGAGCAAGTTATTATACTCACAATTGCAAAACTTTAATGACAGCAGATTTCATTATTTCAATAACACCTACCCGGTACAACAAAACATCATCAGCAACAGTCTCATGCCAAAAGCTAAAACTGGTTCTCAGAGTCATTTTCAGTAAAAAAAAATTATAAATGTTTACATAAAAGCTGAACTTACTCATATTACAAGAACATATAAAATGTTACTGACTATTTCCCAAACTTACACACAGAACATACATTGCGAGATTGACTGAGTATAGCTAAACACAATGTAATCAAATCAAACTTGGGTCTTCGGGATTCGGGATGATGAACAAACACTTATTAGTTTAACCCCAACCCTTTCATAAAGAGAAAAATTTAATCTACCTGGAATGGCAGGGTAAATCTTTGGCCACCGTCGACTGATTCTTGTTTTGAAATAGTTATCTCCCGACAACAGTTCCTCAAAGACTCTGCACACATGTTGCAGCTTGTGAATAACCCGTACATCCAGGAAATCACATATCCTGATGAGCAGCTCTGGAGGAAGTTGATCCAGGGTCAGGTTGTGGCTGCTGAGGTCGGCGGCATCAGCATCTATAGCTGCCATTGGTGTGTCCTCATCAGCAACATCACACATAGGCACTGTGTGGAAGAAAATACGTGAGTGAAGGATGTTTTAGGACAACAATGTTCCAGCTGTGTAATCTCCATCTGGCCAATCTATCAAGTCTGGTCCAGATAAAACAGTAGTGGATTATGTACCATGCAAACAACAAAGTCATTCAGTTGCTGCTTGTGACAAGCAAAAGGGTTCTGGGGACATTTACAACCTGGCCCCTAAATGGCCTGTTAGGAAAATAAAATGGTTTGTTCACTGCATTCTCAGGAAATATGTACCAGTGCCACAGCATGTCCTATCATAATTCCTTACTTGAATATTTGTTGTAGGACAAAGGTGTGGGGATTAAGATGATTACCATCCATTTCATTTGACAACAATAAAGAATATGATGTAAACTATACTACCACAGTATATAGTTTTTTGAGATATCAAGAACAAAATTAATTTTGAAGGGGCATGTGGCCTTGATTCTGAATTTGACAATGAGAGTTCTAAACCTTTAAATAAACATTCAGGAAGCCCCATGCCTAGGCACCTCCATGGGACAAACCAATGCCTCTAGGCACCTTTATAAGAATGTCGAATGCCTTTAGGCACCTTCATAAGAAAGACCAATGCCTCTTGGCACCTCCATAGACAGACCCATGTCTCTAGGCAACTTCATAAGATTGACCCATGCTCCCAAAGTGTCTTCATAAAAAAAGCCCTGTGCCTCTTGGCACCTTCATAAGACAGACCCATACCTCTAGGCACCTTCATGAGAAAGTCCAATGCCTCTTGGCACTATCATAAGACAGATCCATGCCTCTTGGCACCGTCATATGACAGACCCATGCTTCTAGGCACCTTCATGGGACAATGCCTCTAGTCACCATCATAAGACGATCCATGCCTCTTGGCACCGTCATAAGACAGGCCCATGCTTCTAGGCACCTTCATGGGACAATGCCTCTTGGCACCATCATAAGACAGATCCATGCCTCTTGGCACCGTCATAAGACTGGCCCATGCCTCTTGAACCTTTAGTCCCATGTGCAATAGTATACCAATTATTTACATGTATGTGCATTTCTGTCCAGATAATAAACCAAACGGCAATGATGATTGTCCAAAGGTGAAAAATATCATTCAGAATTAAAGTTAAGTATTTTCACAATTTTGCATCTTTTGCAGTCAGAGGAACAAGTACCAGAGAGCAACAATACGATGGATCCAAAATACAAGCACCGGCCAAAATGTAGGGAATGCAAGTTTAAAATTTCTTGGCAACAAGCCATATTATTCTCTTGTTTTTCTTACCATTTGTTGATGAGTTGAAATTCATTTCTTCCAACGGTGGGTTTTAAGTTCTTTCTCATTCAGCTTAAGTATATGGGTTGTATTTAAAAAAAGTCTAAACACAGACACGCCTCATGACTCAGTTATATTGTTAACTCTTGTGGTCATCTTACGCTATTTTGATGGATGACAACATCCGTCCTCGCCGACAGTAAATATAAGATTACATTTCATTGGTTAATTGAGAGGAACCGGAAATGCCCCTGAAATGTATCAAGTTGTTTAAAAATTTAAATTAAAATCAAACACCTGACATTTATTTATTAAAGCATTTCTTACCACCTATTAACAACAACGGCAAAATGAAGACGATTTTAGCAATAGAAATATTTGCCTCCAAATAAATTATTCAAAGGGAGATAATTCATTATCTATCCAATGATTGTATGTCTGATTTCAAGAAATATGGGCATAAATTTGCTGCGCGGAATACATTTTTGTCTGTGAACTGGGAATTATGTGGACAATATATTCGTCTATATAATGTATCGACATTCTTAGAGTTGCCCCAACTCAACAAAGTAGAAAAGGCCAATGTACTTTTGAGAGAGAGTGCGCGCAGTAACCACGCCGGAATAAGTTGCGTTTGATTACCGTGACATTATGGTATTGGTCATTGCAAAAGTCATTCAAAGGGAGGTAACTGCCCTGTGACGGATCCACCTGCTCATTTCATATCCCTCCGCCGCGTTCGGATAATCCAAGATGGCGTGGCAGCCGGAGGAGAGTGGTCTTCGGCAAATATTACAGCTGTTGAAGGAATCGCAGTCTCCAGATACAGCCACGCAACGCGCCGTTCAACAAGTATCCTTTAACACCCGTTTCTTTTTATGTTCCTTGATAATTTACACCGTCTTTGTGTAAGACGCTCAGTTCCAGTTTCATGTTGTAGATTTAACTACTAAAACACGTGTTTCGTCATTTGCGCCGGTTATATTTTTGACAGCGGGGGAATCAAGCGATCCTTTTGATTACAGTAATAACGAGTTCACGGTGGTATGTTAGTTAAAGAAATATGACACACTATGTATAGTTGGTATGGTAATATGTATTGACAATTTCGAAGTGTATAAACCTGAGTATCTCGTTTCGTGAAAGAATTCGAAAGGTTAATCAGGAAACAGCATGAACAGATAGGGCTGTAAGACCAGTACTGACACCTCTTTTGTCAATAGTTGAAACTAAATGATCAACAAAACCAACTAATATCATAATGTGAACGGGAAAAGCTTCTAATACTGAGTTATTTTTGACAAACCATTAGATACTGTTCATTGGGCATTCCCTTAGTCTCTTTGTTGAAAGCATAAAATTCTCTTTGGAGTACATTGAATTATTTAGTTGCTTAGAAATGAACACGTTGGGGATAACTGCAGATCAGCATAATATGCCAATCAAAGATTTGAAGCACCAATCATCATAGAAAAAAATAGACAGGGTTTTACTTTGACTTACAAAATTGGGGCTCCATCAATTAATGTTATGGGTCCTTGAGGGTCCTATGAAGTATTGAAATGGTGTACTGTACAGTATGTTCATAGCCAGGAATGAATCAGAGATCATGTGGACATTGGTCATGACTGATTGGTGAAATAACAGACTCCGGTAACTACTCCTGATGCACTGTGCGTACGCTCTTAGTATTTTAGTATATCTCTCTGGATGCAGTATTTTGGTTATTCTGCTTCCATTCTGTTCATTTGTGCGTTGCGTAACACACTGACTAGATGTCAACTCGATTGTGCCACCTAACTGATGATTGTGACAGTCCTGATTTTGCTTGTTCCACCATAATATTGCTATTTACTTTCTAAGCATCATGTATTTGGTGTATGTATGCTGAGGAACTGGAATGTGATTCTGAATTATAATGTGGCAAAGTTTGAATTCTGTCATGACTATGACCATATCTTTTCATAAATCCACTTAGCATTCAAGTTTTCCAGCACAATTAACCTTGAGTCTTGTCAGTTAGAAAGTTACAGTGTATATAAGGTGTATTGAAAGTGAAATGTGTGAAACCTTAACCAGTGTGCAGAAATTGGAAGAGCTTAATAGGTATCCAGACTTCAACAATTACCTAATTTTTGTTCTCACCAAGTTGAAATCTGAAGGTGAGTGGTGTGGCCATGAATCATAAATATTGTCTCCTTCCTTTCCAAACGTTTTTGCTCTGTAGTTTCAGGAGTACAGGTGGCTCAGTTGTCGAGGGTGCCACTATGGAGAATAGTGACCCAAGGGCACACCCAAAAGGCATGATTGTGGATTCAAATCCCAGAATTTGTTTCTTGGTTTGCAGTCATATGACTTATGCTTATATGATTCAGTGAAATGGCAAACATGTGAGACGAACATCACTTTGTCCTTTCTTCCCACTTTGAGCTGCCACAGAGTGATCTAACTCTAATATTTTTCAAAGCAATGCTATTTCTAACTCACTAAAGACTATGTGTTTGGCTGGTTACCATGAATGACTATCATCAACTTGCCTGAATCTTCATGATTGAATGTCGATTATTTACAGACAGCCGTCATACATCTGGAATATTGCTGAGTGAGGCATAAAACTAAACTCGCTCACTCAATCATGATTGAGTGTTCCAAGTCAAAGATTAACCTCACATTTCTTTTGTCTTTTGGCACCATTCCAATGTTTATGCATTTCAAAATAATCTCACCAGTTTTTCAGACAGTTTTATTCAGTAAAAGGCCACTGGCCCATAATACAGTCAAATGCGTGATCACACATCACAAATTGCTGAGTTATTGTTTAAAAACTGTCGATAACTCACTCAGTTTTTAACCCAAATCACGTGGATTGAATAGAGAAAGTGATATATCGTGTGAAAATGAATTTACTGAAAATGTTCATGGCTGCCATAGACTGTTTTATGTCATTTGAGCCGATACACAATGTCCGTTAAAATATCAATTTGAATCTGAATTCTAGAAGTTAACAAACTTACTATTTTTTATTCAGATGATCCAACCAGATCCTTGAGTGGTTTGATTTTAAAGAACAATGTTCGTGCCCATTTTGAGAAGTTTCCTCCAGAGGTTACTTCCTTCATAAAGCAAGAATGTCTGAACAGCATTGGAGACCCTTCCCCACTCATAAGGGCTACCATCGGAATTCTTGTCACAACAATTGTGGCAAAGGGGGAACTGCGCAATTGGCAGGATTTGTTACCAACGCTTTGCCAATGCTTGGATTCTGAAGACTATAATGTTTGTGAGGTAAGTGGTTTTTTGGGTTTTTTTTCATTATTATAAAATTAAGTGTTCTTTTTCAGTCCTTGATTCTACACCAGGCTGTTGGAATTGTGAATTATTAATAATAATTTAACTTTAAGGGGACTTAAATATGGGTGTTGAAAGGCACAAGAGTTGTGAATGGTTATAAATAAACCTTTGAAAAATCCCAAATGTTTATCTAAAATAATACAAGCAAAATGTGCTAATAGTTTCCCACATAAACTAGTGAAAGATATGTGACTGCTGTTTTGTTAGTATGTAGAGTATTTTGCATTCTACATTTATTTTCAAACCATTCTAGCATAGAACATTTGTTGACGAATAAATATATGGTAAATTGCCTTAGTCTATTAGTGGTGTGGTTATCTGCCAACTGATTATTTATGATGTTGATGGGTTTCAACCCAACCATGGACAGGTTCTTGATGTATCAATAATTTGATCATTACTATAGTTTAACCACAGTCCTTCCCTCAACCTGACAAATATTCTTGCCTGTGATTTGAAATTGTTTGTTATTAATAAGTGTCCAGTGCATTAATGATCGTATAATTGTTTGTAACTGTAATATGAAATGAAACCTGAAATATGAAGTGTTCCGAGAGAACCATATTCTCCATGTTCTAACAGCTGAAGAAGTGTTTGAAGATGACAGTCAGCTGCATGATTTCATTTCCTTTCAATGTAATAAGATTCACTTTTAATTTGAAAGAACCAGGTAGCATATCATTATTTATCAAGAAAAACAAGATGGAGCTTTGTTGAAAGGCTATGATAATTAGGTTGGTGCTGTGGAGCAATCAATAGATAATCAATTAAATGATTGTGGACATTGAAATGATTATTGATTGTCTATATGTGTAATCAATAATGTAGCCCCATTAATAAGGTTTGCTGTTGTGCAGTTGAGCGTGTTAAATCCTGTCTAATAGATATTAAAATAACTTGTGATGAGTCGGCCATGGGCAAGGCTTCCACAGTATTGTCAACCTAGGATCAGTAATATTTCCTTGTATGTTAGTAACTTACTTTTTTTCTTTTATGCTTAAAACCTATGTTTTATTCACTTAGGCCCCAAAAATCAAAAGGTTGTGGTTCCAATTTCCTACATTTCAGAACTAGGGTAGGTAGGTAGGGGTTTGGGTTTTTTTGCAAAATATTTTTACATTACTCATGTGTCAGAAAATAAATTTAATTTATTATGTGGTGAGTAAAATTGTTAGGCTCAGCGGGAATATTTAGGGTCGGTCAGGAAATCGGAACCACAAGCTTCTTCTTTTTTAGGCCTTATTCGCATGGTACAAATTCATAAGTTACTTAAAGTATATTTTCTTGAAGTGATAAGTCTGGTGTTGATGTCTTTTCCTATCAGCTGTAAGTACCTAAATATCCACATTATCAGTACAGATGCATATTTTCACGAGGAAAAACACCTGAATGTAATATGATATTGATCTCCATTGTGTTATTATATAAGTGGAATGCTGCATCTTAAACAATGAATTGAAAAATGGGATTTGAGGGTAATCACAGGCACAGTTGAATATGCACGTTTCCAATTCACACAATTTGGAAAGTGGGCCATGTTGATAAATTTGTGTTCTGAGTGAATGTTATCTTCTTGATATGAAATTGTATTTTAAAACCTGCGCCCATCTGCTGCACTTATGTGATGATTATATTGAGTCAGTATAGCATGTGTTGCTCTGGTGCACTGCAGAACATGAACAATGGTTGCCAATTGACAAAATAGGCATCCAAACTTGCCACGGGATAGAGACTGATTAAGATCGTTATATTGGTATTCAATGCAGGGCTCCAGATAAGGGCCGTATCGGCGTATGTACGGATATAAAATATGCACGATAAGGTAGGAAATAATTTAGA